CTGCTCGCCCTCACCTACATGATCGAAGAGCTTGCGCGCCTTGCCCCTAACGCAGTCACACTTACCGACTACGCTCGCCCGTTGCAAATTTCGAAGTTCATCAAAGACGTCCATGCAGGCTTTCAGCTGCTGAACCTCAAAAATGATACCCTTCGGCGAAGGGTAGATGGCCTCAAATACAGTGTAAAGAAGGTGGAAGATGTAGTATATGATTTGAGTCTGAGAGGATTGATTCCAAAACACTGAGCACGCACAAGGTGATGGCATTGTGGCACGCCGCCAGAGGCACGTGTATGTTCCCATGAAAACATGCCTTGTTCTATGGCTATGTTTTTTTCGCACAGATATCAACAAGGACTTGATCACGATGGTTGTCTGGGCTGCTGCTAGGAGTTACCATAAGGTTGGTTCCGATTGAACGAGTACGGGCATGTGAGGGCTAAGCACGAGTTCACAGGACACAAAAATTATCCTACACAACAAAATGCGGTTGATTGTCAGACTCCCTGAGCTGCAATAGTCCACGTCGAGCTCTTTCGAGCCACGAGAATTTGAAGCTGTTTCGATACTCTATGATAGCAGCTGGCATGCCGTGGACGATACAGACTGCTCTCTTGTGGACGGCGTCCTCTCTTCTCTGTATAACTCTGCATACTGTCTAGTCCTTATTTTCTGATGACAAGTTCATCCGCCATCTGGCCAGTTCTGTCACCGGTGCAGTCTGACCTCACCTAGTGCCCTGCTGGACGAGGCGGCTCGGTCGCCTTCTTAAACTCGTCCCCATCTGTTCTCACGCTACTTTCAGCCGTCGCCGGTTCTCTCAACCCAGAAGCCGATCCTGTGCCCAGTTTCACGTTCACCCCTCCACTGCCAACGTTCACTGTGCGTTGGTCTGCTGATTGGAGATCTGCACTCGCTCCGCCCACGGGCTGATCAGGTAGAGGTAAACTCGCCTTGACGCGATCGATCTGGTCTTGCTTGGATTCTTGTTCAGAGAGGAGTTGCTGTGAGACAGGTCAGCAGACTGATAAAAGCGCATCTTTTCGGGAAGACATTGGGTCGGGAACGCTGTGGACGCCTACCTTCATTGCAGATGTGTCCGAGTCCTTAGGTGTCTGGCCACCATGGAATTTCGACTCCTTCGACTCCATCTTACGGACGTCCTCACCAGTCAGGTGGAATGTTTTGTCGGACATTGTCGTCTTGCTGTGGCTTGGTCTTGAATCTGTGCTGATAATGACGTTTATTCAGAAATGAAGGAAGTGATAATGGTTCTGGTGGTTCAAGGTACTTGAATTTTGTTGAGGAAGAACGCAGCAAAACTCGGAGTTCTGCCTGGCTCTTTATTTGTGGCCTCGAGCATTTTGGCCATGAAGACGTCACCCATAGAGGACCAATGATGGCATAGCGATCTGCTTGCCAGATCCTCATTCTGCCATTAATCTCGAAACTTCGCGCACAGAGACATGGCGAGGATGAAATACGTCACGGCCAAATGAAGTCTAGCGCCGAGAGATGTCCAGAGGGGGAAAGGCCCCGGTCCAATCACTTTGGTTCGGTAGGAAATGCGTTTTTGCCATTGAACTGTATGCATGGAGTGTTTCGTTGCGATCCGCTTCTCGAGGACGGTTGCCATTTTGGAATCGTCCTGGACCATCTGTAACACGATCTTTCCTGCAGGAGATGAGGAGGTACAACAAATCTCCGAAGTCGTGGCAAACCGTTGCAAGCTGCCCCTCGACAATGACAAAAGTTGGCCAAGCAGCAGATCTTAATTTCGAGCAAACTACCCGATTTCAAGGTCAATATCGTCGACGCAGAACTCCCAGTCTTTCCATTTGATGTTCTGGAAGTGGAACTCAGCCCACATCTCCAGCCTTGTCAAGCCCTCCCAAGTCTTCCCAGTGAATTTTTCCACTTGAACATTTAGAACATCATGAAAGCCAGCAGGGAAGTCGACACTCCAGGAGAAAGTGCTATCTTCATTCAGACGAAAACCTTGAAGACTGATGGCCACAGAGCCGACCGGCATGTCGAGCGGTTTTATCTTCAGCGCGTGGAGAGTGAAGGTCTCGGTTGAATTGTAGAGGTAAATAGAGGGCCGTTGGTCCAGTAAGTTCATGGAGCCCTGTTGACTATTCGATAGACGGGCCCTTGCAGCTCCGTACAATGCATTCGGTTTGGAAACAGCGCAATTCAGGTCATTGGCGGAAATGATGCCTTCCAAGCTGGAGTGCGATGGTTTGAAGGCATAGAAGTCATTGAACACAAACCCCTTGTACGGTGGTATCATCTCTGCGAAGCCGTCTGGGGTCTTGATCTCGTCGAACTGCCACACGGTCAACCACCACCGGGCACAAATTGAATCTTCGAGAGAAATGGTCACGAACATTCAGCACTTGGTGTCCTTCGTCGAGTACTACTTGCTCAGAATGAGCAGAAACGGCATTAAAGCAGAAGGCCAGGACGAAGCATATCAAAACGACGGAATGTAAGCGCAGCATGCTCTGAAAAGTCGGTTGCCTCGAGTTAGACAAACACCGCGCCACGATCGTGATGAAGGTGCCAATTAAATCGTTAAAGCGGAGATGTACAAGTGCTGTGATAAGGAATGAAAAGCGGTAGAAAAGCTGATACAGGGTCATTCTTCTGCTTCAACAACCCACTTGGACTTAGAGATCCAAAAACGCCTCGACATCTCCTTGCCATGAGGAGGCCGGATTTGTATCGTCAACAAATGGACATGCGGCAAAATAATTTCGGATTTGAGGAATTGCGGGTGGGTTGTACTCTGGAAAAGTTGATTCGACACCTGCGCCCAACGTCATTTAACTTCCCGCCTTGTATTCATCTTTCGCCCACAGCCTCTGACAATCTTCCACAGTGCCATACACAAAACAGGACTGCTAGTCTGAGAATTTGGCGGCCGTCCAGGCCGGGGAAACCGCCCTGTTTTTCTTTTCCTTTCTCTTACCAGACTCCGCTTGAGAGTGCTTCCCTACGATGCCCCGAGATCCACTCATTGGGCTTGTTGGAAAACCATCCTCCGGCAAGTCAACAACTTTGAACAGGTATGCTGCAGGTCCCTGTGCTTCAATCTCAACTTACGAACCCCTCACAGCTTGACAGACGCCAGTTCGAAAGTCGGTCAGTGACGCGATAATTCTTCCCGACCAAGGTGGTGGACCAGGCTGATGATCTCTGCGCAGGCAACTTCCCGTAAGAGACAACCCCTCAGCCCAATCTAACTGCGCCTGGACTAAACCTATGTCATGTCAGTTTCACCACGATCGACCCTCAGAGAGCCGTTGGATACCTCCAAGTCGACTGTGCTTGCAAGCGACATGGCCTTGCCGAGAGATGCCGACCGAATTATGGTTCCTGCGTGGATGGCAAGAGATCAGTACCTATAGAACTCCTTGACGTTGCCGGGCTGGTTCCCGGTGCACATGAAGGCAGAGGACTTGGCAACAAGTTTCTTGACGACTTGCGCCATGCGGATGCTCTTATACATGTGGTCGATGTCAGCGGAACAACGGACGCCGACGGCAAAGCCACGCGTGGCTACGATCCGAGCGTGGACATTGAATGGCTGCGTGGTGAGATCGTTCGCTGGATCCAAGGGAATTTAATGGAGAAATGGGGAAGTATCAAACGGCGGCATCTCGCTGTGAAAGCGTCGCCAGTGGAAACCCTCCAAGCACAATTTTCAGGCTACGGTAGCACCAGCGCAGTTGTCGCTCGGTGTCTGGACAAGCTGCAGTTGAAACAACCCCTAGAGGCATGGAGCGATGAGACTATCCTCAAAGTCGTCAACGCATTCACGGACGAGAAGTTTCCAACGGTTCTTGCCTTGAACAAGATCGATCATCCTGACGCAGATCGCAACATTGCCAAAATCGCAAAGCAACAACCGGCAGACCGGATTGTTCTGTGTAGCGCTATCTCAGAGGTGTTCCTGCGTCGGCTGGCGAAGCAAGGCTATATCAAGTACAAAGAAGGAGCAGAATACCTCGACACGAGGGAAGATCTGATCGAGCAGGGGGATCCGACAGGCGGAGGACTCAAAGAGATGGACGACAAGTTGAAGCAACGGATAGAGAATCTCAAGGATATGGTGCTCTATCGCTTCGGGAGCACCGGCGTCGTGCAGGTTTTGACTCGTGCAGCAGCAATGCTAGGCCTTGTGCCAGTATTCCCCGTCAAGAACATTCACACATACGGGTCTGGAGCAGCGGGGTCTACTGCTGTGTTTAGAGACTGCGTGCTGGTGAAAAAAGGCAGCACAGTTGCGGATGTGGCAAGAAAAGTCATGGGGGATGCTCCAATTGCATTTGTCGAAGGCGATGGAGGCAGGAGAATTGCTGAAGATTCGACAGTCGAGGTTGGGAAGAATGATGTCCTGTCATTTCATGTCGGGCGATGACGTTCGGGCTCTCGTTATGCGGCAAGGTACATGAACTCCAGGTACGCAGAGGAGACCGACGAGATCAAGCGATTCCATTTTTCCCATAATGAGTTATTATAGATCAAATAGACGCCATAGCCAATGCCGTCTCCGTAGCCATAACGTCACGCTTTTCTCGGATTCAGTGTGTTTTCTGGCCAAGCAGTCAGCAAGTCGATCCCAGTGTTCGTCCTCAAACAATCATAGCAGGACAGTGGAGGATATGTGACGTACTGATCCTCTTTCATCATTCATCCCAATCACCGGCTCTGGTGCTTTGGGATGCTCCTCCTTTGCCTTCTTGTTGCTGTCTCTTTCATCCCTGCGTGAAATGGCATCGCTACCTTCTTTCATCTCTTCATGATCCTTCATCCCCTGTTGTGAAGTCTCGGCTTGAACGTCATGAGCGGGACGTTTAACTGCGTGGTCACGAGCATGCCGACCGCCCCAGCCGGGAAGGGAATCGTGAGCAGCGGTGCTAGTTGTGCTATCCGTAGAAGATGGCTGGGAGTGCTGATTGGAATTGTAGAGAGGCCCGAGGCTTGACAAGAGACGGGTGTTCCGGTGAGAGCAGAGGTGAGGGAGTGTACGGCCCTTGGGCAAAGTCTGCGGGAGACGATACATGGTCGATTCGAGAGGCAGTGGGTGTGTAGAGGATGGGTACCAGTCCCACGGGTCGTGTGTTTCTCGACTGTGTGGTCACGGTAGGGATGAGGCAGAGAAGTCACAGGGCAGTGGCGCAATAGAAGGAAGTCCTGCACCTACCTCACATAAAAAGGGTTCATGAATGATGCTCTCACCGTGAGAGTCAGATCCGATGTCCACATTAGCTAGGTCAATTCGACACAGCATTTTGAATACATGTCTTCAATGTCGAAATAATGACGACATGAGACACAGGCAGGTACATTTGCAGCCCGCCCATGGCCAATGCGGAGCAGAAATTGGCTTCCGGCCAATCTTCTTGGCACCACTCACCAGCTAGGAACAATAACAGTGATTGCGGAGTACTGACGACGAGGAGTCCAAGAGGTCGAGGCTGTTGGGAGGCTGTTGTTCCTTACAACTCTCCTTGACAAGAAAACCCATTGGTACTTGCGTCGACGCAAGTGTCTGACAGAAGTAATCTCCCAATGTCGATGTCTGGACAGCACAAGCACTTTGACGGATACAGCCCCGTCCGTCAGACAGGACGACCTCGGGTAGCCATTCAACCATTCTACCTCGGGTTGCGCGCAGGTCGCATTCGAGGGCCGAGCTGCGCGCAATGAGACACTCTGAAGCTCAGGGTTTGCTCGGTCCATAGTCTGTCGATGAGATCTTTATCGAACCAAAAAAAAAGGCGCGGCTACGAGAACCCCGATTTTGTCAGTCTTGCGAGCCTTCCCACGGATTCCGAGCCGCATGTACCAGGAGTTGACCCAGGAGATACCGAGTACTTTTCAAACGCTAGCGCGCCAACCTCTTCATCGGCCACAGCATTTTGCCGGCACCCATTGAAGTCTTTGCGCTGAAGGCTGATTCGAGGAACTGGACAGCGGTATTGGTTTTGCGGGGTCGAGGCCCTCTACTCTCCGCGGTGCCTCGGTTCCTGCATCTTTATCATTGCCGAATGTAATTCATTAAGGACACTGCTTCACCTTGTTCAGAGTCTGATTCCCGCCACTAGCCTGGGAAAACGACAAGCATGGCTTCACATTTGCGGTACGATAACCAAGTCGCCATCGTCACCGGCGCCGGCAACGGCTTGGGAAAGCAATATGCCAAATTCCTTGCCGCACGCGGCGCAAAGGTCGTGGTCAACGATCTAGGTGGGACTTTCAATGGCAACGATGCTGGTGGCAGAGGCGATTCCAAGGTCGCGGACGTTGTGGTCAAGGAGATCAGGGATGCTGGTGGTGTTGCTGTGGCCAACTATGATACCGTCCAGAACGGCGACAGAATCGTCAAGACTGCAATCGATGCGTTCGGGAGAGTCGACATCCTCATCAACAACGCCGGGATCCTGCGCGATATCACCCTTAGAAATATGAAGCTCGAAGACTGGGATCGCATTGTCGATGTCCACGTCCATGGCGCTTTCAAAACAGCACGAGCGGCGTGGCCTTACATGCGGAAGCAGAAGTACGGTCGAATCATCAACACATCATCGTCATCTGGTCTTTTCGGGAACTTCGGACAGAGCAATTATGCGGCAGCAAAGATGGCCCTAGTCGGCTTCAGCGAGACATTGGCCAAAGAAGGAGCGAAATACAACATCACGTGCAATGTACTTGCTCCCGGCGCAGCTAGTAGACTAACGCAGACGGTCTGGACGCAAGACATGATGGATGTCATGAGACCCGATTGGGTCGTCCCACTCGTGGGCGTCCTGGTCAATGAGAAGTGTCACGAGAGTGGAAGCATCTTTGAGGCTGCAGCGGGTCATTACAGCAAAATCCGGTGGGAGCGCAGCAAAGGATTTCTCGCACGCCCCGAAGAATTGACCGCCGATCTAGTGCTTGAAAACTGGGGGAAAGTGGTAAACTGGGCTGGCGCCGAGCATCCAAACGAATCTGCCAATGTCTTACAATTCCTCGACGAGGCCAAAAAATTGCCGAAGACCAGCGCGCAAGCCGGCAACCGGGTGAATTTTTCAGGCAGAGTCGTCTTGGTAACTGGTGCTGGTGCCGGACTGGGCAGAGCATACAGCCTTCATTTCGCTCAACTCGGTGCAAAGGTTGCAGTCAACGATGTCAAGAATGCCGAGAAGGTCGCCAATGAGATCAAGGCTCGCGGAGGCGAAGCAATCGCCATAGCATTGTCCGTCGAGGATGGAGCATCCATTGTGAAGAAAGTGGTGGATACCTATGGCCGCATTGATGTCGTGGTCAACAATGCCGGTATCCTGGGAGACAAGGCTTTCGCTAATATGACAGACGAGCAATGGTATTCAGTCATGAATATTCACATGAAGGGAACATACCTCGTTACCAGAGCAGCATTTCCCATTATGCTCAAGCAGAAGTATGGACGTATCGTCAACATCACCAGCACGAGCGGCGTCTATGGAAACTTTGGACAGGCCAATTATGCCGCTGCGGTGAGTCCGCTCCTTTTGTTTGTCATGAGACCTTCACTGATGACACTGGCATAGAAATGTGGCATAGTCGGCTTTACGAAGACCATCGCTCGAGAAGGCGCCAAATATAACATCGTGGTCAACTCACTCGCTCCAACAGCAGGGACGAATATGACTCGCACCGTCTGGCCCGAGAAGGTTGTCGAAGCCGTCAGACCTGAATACGTCGCGCCTGTTGTTGCTGCACTTTGCAGCGAGAAACCTCCGGCGACTGGACAGCTCGTTGAATCTGGCGGCGGGTGGGTCGCAGTCACTCGCTGGCAGAGAGCTAGGGGCGTTGATTTTGACATTGAAAAAGGAGTCCCGAGCGTGGAACAGCTTGCGGAGGTAAGTCATGACGAGCGGTATACTAAAATTGATAGACACTGACCAACTATATAGGCATTCCCGGAGATCTGCAACTTTGACAATGGGAAAGCAGACAATCCGGAAGATCCACAAGACGGCAACAAGTACTCCATGGGCAACGTGATGAAGGTCCCCAAGTTTGTAAGGAGCAAATGTGTTGAAAATTGGGTGATGGCTGAAGCTAACCATGTCCCAGGCCGAAGCCTTGTCGCCAGGAAAGAGCGCCAACCGCAAATATATCGCCAAAATCAACGAAGCCATATCTATGAAGCCTATCAAATCAACCTACACCTATGATGATCGAGAAGTCATTTTGTACAACCTCTCCATGGGCGCGCACCGAACTGACCTCGACCTTGTGTATGAGGGCTCTCCGAACTTCCAGGTGCTTCCTACCTTTGGCATTGTTCCGACGTATTCCTCGACCACGCCCTGGCAGGTGAAGGACATCGTCCCCAACTACGACCAACGCATGCTTCTTCACGGAGAGCAATACTTGGAGATCAAACAGTTCCCCATCCCAACATCGGGCACGCTGACGACGGAAGCACATCTGGTAGAGGTTGTGGACAAAGGAAATGCCGCCCTTGTCAGAAGGGGTGCCACCACGGTTGACAGCGCAGGCAGACCCGTCTTCTACAACGAAAGTGTATCATTTATCCGGGGGGCAGGCAACTTTGGTGGTCAGCGCAAACCTTCTGATCGCGGCGCCGCCACGGCCTTGAATGCCGCACCATCTCGTACGCCGGACAAGGTCGCTGAGGAAAAGACGTCGGAAGATCTTGCAGCAATTTATCGGCTCTTGGGCGACCGAAACCCGCTCCATATCGATCCGAAATTCTCCGCCGTCGGTGGATTCAAAGATCCCATTCTCCATGGCCTTGCGACGTTCGGAATTACAGGGAAGCACGTATTCCAGGCGTACGGACCATTCAAGAACATCAAGGTCAGATTCAGCGGCACGGTCTTGCCAGGACAGACCATTGTGACGGAAATGTGGAAGGAGGGAGGAAAGATTGTGTACCAGGCGAAAGTCAAGGAGACGGGCAAATCTTGCATCAGCAACGCCGCGGTAGAATTGTTGCAGGGCGGTTCAAAATTGTGAGTGGGGGCGGGTGATGCTGTAGTAATCTTGACAATCTCTGAAAATCATAGTCTGTGTCTTGTACCATGGCAGCATGGGTAGTAGCCAATATCGTTCTGTGCATATAACCTACGACCTCTCATTGTATATGCGATGACTCGAAGTTTGATATGGCAGAAAGTCGACACACATAGATCAGAAACACTGTGTCGAGCAGCTTGTGGACCAGGGACGCCTTTCTGGGCCGTTCATACGTTCAGATCACCTGCATATCTCTTGGTGACCCATGCATAAAATTACAAAGTATTACTCGTAAATCGCAGATTCCTTGGTGGAGACGCAACCAGTCCGAAAACGCAGTAGACTATTCTAAAAAGGGCTACGACGCTAGCCTGAACAGGAACAGGCAACCTAAAGCTAAAGTCATTGCTGTCCAAGACCATGCCTACTGGGCTCGCTGGGTAATAATGCTATGGTCATACGGACAGGTATGAGCACGAACATTGACGACCTATATGCTCACAACCAAACAATACTCCAATGGACTGAAACCCAAGTTCAGAGGAAATAATATGTATTGCGACTGTACAGTCAAACTATAAACACAGTGTGCTTTGATTCCGCCTCGCACTGATAGATCTAGGGTACCTCTTGCTACTACTTGCTGCACAGGTCAATTTTGCCTCCTTGCCGCCCATTCCAAAGCATCTCTTTCAACCTATTCAACTTTGGTATCATCGCCACGGACTCCTTTCTGATTCCAGTTGGCAGCCTGCCTCAAGTCCAAACAGCATCGGGGTATATACGGTACTTCGTCGTCAAGCATTTTTCGTCACCATACAACCATTTCAAAACATTTCTCGCTCTCTGCAAAAAGAACCACACCATTCCAGAGCATCCATCCATTGCGCACAGTCACTCAACTTGCACCGGCTCAAATAGAAGCTTAAGCCTCGACCTCGTGAAAATCAAACTCATCGTCCACCGGGATAGTAATGCCCCGGTATGTCTCCGGGAGGTCTAGGCCGTCGCCTGTGGCCGTTGAACCATTGTGGCTCCCTGCAGTGCTGAACAGGAAATCGTCGCCGCTAGTCAATGATTCCTCAGAAAAGCTGAGTAGGCTTTGAGGTACGGGTGCTTTTGTTACAAAATCCATTCCGGAGAGATGCCACGCGTCCGGAGTCCATTCGTTGCTAGGTATCTGATAGAGCGAATGGCTACCAGCTTGTAGGTCCTGGTAGATCGCTGGGTTCGTAGGGTCGGAACCGTCTAGAAGGTTTTCCCAACCAGAGTCGGGGAGGGTGGGTGTCGGCTGTTTCTTCGGAGGTAGCATCGTACTCGACGAGGTCCTGGTTTGCGAATCGCCGAATTCGTCACCAAGAGGTAGGTAATCCAGGTTGATCATTGGAGTGCCTAACGGCCCCGGTGCATTGACTTGGCGGGGTGAGGGAGTAGCTGCGGGTAGAACCGGTGCTGATCGGGTCGAAGACAGGCTAACAGTGCTGGCAGTGCGGTTAGCTGGGCTAAGGGAAGTCGGTCCGGTCGGTGTCACAGTTGCACGCCGATTGGGGTCCTCTGGCTTTCCTTTGTTGCTGAACGAGGACCATCGTGATGCGATAGCTTGTAGCTGCTTGCGGGTGGATTTTGACTTGGGTTCTGTTGGAGCTTGCATTGTACAAGGTGCATTTTGGGTTCCAGCAATAGTTTGTTCTGCACTTAGTGTTGAAGTTGGTCGCGTTTCGAGCGCCATGAAACAGGTCGCAATCTTCTGGAATTCCGTTGCAGCTGGGGCATTCTCAATCTGCAGCATGCCCACGAGCATCGTCAGTGACTTCTGGTTGTCTTTGGCAAGTTTGCTGTCATCTTCCAAATCAAGCGACTGCCAGAGAATCGCCAGGCCCGAGGTCAACAGTAGATCGGCCTGGTTCAGTGGGAAGGTGTAATTCATGCGGCGCTCCAACAGAAGATCAAGGATCTGAAGCACATGCTTGCCAGCGGCTGCCAGCACGATGCCTGCCGCGGACGAAGCGCTTCCAGATGCGTGGCAGAGTAACGGTCGGTGTATCAAACTCCTGATGTAGAAATAGGCAAGAGACTGTGGAGCAATTAGGATTTCAATTCGTGTATAGGACAGCGACCACATACCAATAGCGGCGATCTGCAGCCGATCAAATTCGTCGCAGGTTTGTCGTTACAGAATCGCAAGCGGAGATGCTCGGGTAATTCCTCTGACCATTGGTCAAGCTCATCGGAAAGCGCGTGAAGCTTGGTCAACGAGAGCTGATAGCTAGCTTTGGCAGGGTACAGAGTGTCCAAAGCCTTTGACAGAATTCTGGAAATACGGAACAAAGCAAGTGCGCTCGAAATCTTTGTCAATTCGCCGGGAAGGGTGGGAGAGAAACCTTGAGTGCTGAGGTTCTCGTCGTCGACGTCAGCTGGGTATTCTGTTGTTATATCGCAATCTCGGAACAGTACTGGAGTACCAGTCGCGGCGGATATGAACCTGGGTGGAGGTGTCGGTCAGCTGAGGCACACTCCAAAAGGGTGGCAGAGAGGTGTTGAGGTCGAGAAGAGGACTTACTTGTCGAGAACATATTGACACCAAAACACCTTCTTCCTGGTCTCAGCCTCGAGAGGCGACAGGCTCTGATATTTGTGCCCTTGATGAAGCTCGAGCTCGTGGCACATGGTGACTGCGATGCCACGATGCCGCGCCAGATGGGTGTAGTCTGCGCGCAGCATATAGCAAATCTGAGCTAGCACATGGCATTGGAGGGTTGGTAGAGAAGCATTAGAAGATGTCGAGTAGAGAGCCTTGCGCCACTGTGTCTCGTAGGACGGGGTATTCTTTTTTGGAGTAGATATGTTGGAAAGAGCAGCAATTTCAAAAATTAGAAACAGTTGGGCGTATGCTTGTTTGTTACTCTGCCAATTACCCGACTCAGGATTGGCGAGATATTGCTCATAAACGCGGAGGAATGTTGGTCGATGGAGGATCGGCAACAACGGTTGCCACTCTTGGAAGAAGAGATCTTTTTAACGTTAGTATGATGAACGCGGAACGGTGAGAGAGGTGGTGATCCACGTACTTATGTATTGATCAGAATGAAGCCTGGGGGGGACTTTTGGGCCCGGGGCAGTGGATCGACGAGCTGGCTGAATGGCTTTTTGCAGGGCTGATGAGGAGATTCCAGTCGTTTGTCGGCCGGCTTCTTGGACCTTTTGGTCAAAGGCCTCAATGAAGGAGGGTGTGGTAGAGGAACCGGTCGAGGTGGCTTTGGGCTGCACAGGCGCAGGAATTTCCACATGCAGCAGTTCTTCCCTCGCCGATTCGACTTCGGCCTTTACCTGTGCAGCGTGTGCAGGCGACAAGGAAGCCGAACCTTTTCGAGAGGGAGAGAAACTGTGGATGCGAGACAGCATGTCGATCTTCTCGTCCTTCTCGTCCAACAGCTCCTTGAGCTCCCGAACCTCAGCCTCAAGACCACGGACGCGGTCTTCCAATGATTCCGTGTAGCCTCGTGGGAAGGCCCTGCGACTCAGCTTGTCACTGGTCTTACACTCGAAGCCAACGTTGGCACATTGAGTACAGCAGGGTCTGACGCCGTCGCAGCGAATCTTCTTACTGCGACACCTGTCACAAGCTTGCGCGATCCTGCTCTGCGTACTGCTCCCCACTCGAATCATCTTCATCGGCAAGATGCCGGGCATCGCGATGGACTGTGTTGGGCCTGTGACCGACGTGTTTCAATTCTCGCAGACCTCATATAAAGTACAGTGTACTAGGTAGTTCGTTCCGGTAGAGGAAGAATAGAAGGAAGTCGTCTTGGAGCAGGGGAGTATTGGAACCAAAGGTCTAGAATTCTGCAAGAGGGAGGATCGAATGCAGGAGACAAGGACACTCGAGGGGGCAACAGAGAGATTATGACAACATGCCACCCGAGCGCGACACGGAGAGATTCGTTGGAAGTGTGTTCGAGAAAGATCAGGACGAGGACAAGCGTCAATTGAGTAAATTGGGTTGGACGGGAGGTTAGGCAGGGTCGAGCAATCTGCAGGGAGGGTGGGATCTGCTTGTCTGGGGTTAAGGGTGGTCTGAATGAAGTTTTCTCTTCTCGTGTTCGCGTGCCAAAGAGAGGTCGTTCGTGTCTGGATGGTGAGAGAGGAATACGTTCCGATGCAACCAAAATATGGACCAGTGTGAGAGTTGTGCGTCGCAGCTGGATGGCCTTGGGGGGGCTAGGCTGGGGATGCGGTTCGGGGCATGGAGCGAGGAAAGAACAGCGCGGGGTGTGAAGGTTTTGTTGAGGACCCCGAGAATGAGCCCGCGATTGCAAGGGCTAAGAGGGGCTAGGGGTGCCTGGGCGACCCCAAGGAGGCCTAGTCTATAGAACCCAGCACCGGCTGTCCCGTCGACCTTTTCCCATCAAGTGGGTTCAACGTCTAAGCTAGGGCTGTCTATCATTATTACATTGTGGTCAAAGCCAGCTAATTCATCTTGAGGTCAGAGCTCTCTCCTTCATCGAAGCATATTCTGTGCATTTGCCTTTTCTCCCAGCTCGTTTCCATTTCCCCGCAACTTCAGACGGGGCCCCAACAGGAGCAAGGAGAGGAACAAGATCGGCAGAAGGGCAAGGAGCCCCAGAATTGGGTTTTCGAATCGACACCTGCAACGCGGCCACCTCAGTGAGATGGGCTTGGATGGCTTGGGACCCAATCAGATCCCAAGAAAGCCCTTCCGCTTCCCTACACCCGAGTAATGACCGCACAGATGGGTGACTTTGGCTAACATCATGCGATCGCCTTCCACCACTGAAAACTTGTCTCTAGCTCTCGCTGGGTCGAATCGGCCGCTGGCGCACCTGTTTCGTTCGCTTAGAATCGCCCAGTCATTGCTGATGGGCTAGCGGAACCGCACAAAACAAACACCCCACCATCGCAATCCAGAATACCAAGAATGTAGGTGGCAACGGCAATGATGTTCGGAGGACATACTTGCTGGTGCCCTGGCCTTTGGCGAACTCCATGTTGAAACTATGCTCGTTTCTTTTTTCTGCAGCAGAGAGCCTCCATCTCAACTGGGGCTGCTGCGAGATCGCTTGTCGTTGCAGCTCCGTCCCCTGTCCGCCTATGACTCCTTGAAGACGGCCCCATGGACGAACGGAAAGCGTGCGGAAAATCCCCAGATTAAGCCACATTTCTGTGCGAGTCGCTCTGATCCGTCCGCTCCGTTCGAAAGACAAGGAAGGACAAGCGTGAGGGTTTGTCTGAGAAGTCTGAAAAGCCACAGGAGGTTGCTGTCAGCCCACTCTGGTGCAGAGGGGCCTCGAACTCTGTACTTTGATTTGGTGGCTCACACCACTCCATGATGCATTTCCGAGCTGATCCGCTTTCAATACGCAAGACTGGATAAGCATTCCTTTGGTACGGATCTCTAAACATCTGGCGTCTGTGCCACGAGGGTTTCTCTCATGCAAAATCATCTGGGGTATTATCTGGCGACTCCGTGCTGCCGTTGCCTTGTGCCAAGTAGTCACGGACGATGGATGACTTCAGGAGCTGTGACTTCTGCAGGGGTGTTAGTATACAAACTAGTCACACATGTCGAGTCTGTGGGAACGTACCTCTCCCTCGAGCGTCTCATACGCCCTGGTCAGGAGCTCCATTTCCAGGCTCCGAAGTTTTCCGATCGCCCCATATACTGAATGCCTGACTTGATCGCTGCAATCAGTGTTGTTATATTGCTCTTCACATTCGGCGAGGCGTGATCCCTGATCTTCAATCCTTTCTTGGATTGTGACTGTCGCTCGCAGGACGAAGATGTCTCGGAGGTGATCTGCCAGCAATACCGACTGTAATAAAGTGTCTGTAGCGAGTGCCTGACCTTTCCACGAAGCCTTCAGCTCCGTATCTCCGTCGATAGTCTGCTCCACTCGAAAATCTAGACCGTCTTCCTCATTGATACATGCCCACCAGACAAAAGTGCTCTCCCAATGTACCTGATTTGAATCATCCACATAAATGCGGACCCCTGGCGCTGCTTGCGCGAACTGGATTTTGGCCAGTCGCAGAGGGTCGTCGGATGGAATGGACAAATTCAGGAATATTTCCCTAGCACTGTTCGCGTGCTCTTCTAGAAACCCGTATGAAAACAGCATTTCACATGCGCCGCCGCAGCCATACATTATGGTAATCTCGTCTCCTTGGTGGATATGTCTGTCATCTCGTACGACGAGTAGCACGGATCCTGAGTCTTCATCCACCTCGAATCTGGCGTTATACCGGTCGTCAGAGGCATGATTCGCCATGTCAATGATTGGAACCATGCCGACGCCTCTGCTTTGGGGCAGCTCCAGTGCACGAGAGCGGTACATTGCATCTGCAAGTTTCCAGTCTTCCAGGGTCAAACAATCTGCGCTTTCACTCCACCAGATCTCTTGGCACCAGGGGATTTTTGCAGTCGCGGCTTTTAAATTGTCGAATTCCCGTTCCAGACTGATCAATTTCTGGCTCACTGCGTCCGAGAGAGAGGTCCCCACGAGTAATTCTCTTTCCTCAGCTGTGTAGAAAGTTGGCAGCGGGATTGAATGTGGAAGCATTTTGACGTAGCCAGCAAAAGGATTGTTGAATCCCAAACCGTGGCTTGGAGAGCTCGGGCTGTTGATCGTCATTTGGTAGACGAGAAACAGTAGCACTGCTGTCCGAGGATTCTGGCAATCCGTTCGATGTGTCAGTATCATGTAAAGTAGACCTACCTGCTGGAGGTTTGAGATACGCCGTTGCCTGGGACCTACCTGAACTAAGGGAGCTGCCGCCTCAATGAGCTCCTTCAGGCTCTGATCTGCCTTGGCATATTGCTCGACTCGCTCTTTGGATAGAACCAGCTCGCGAGGAACAGCAACGAGGGGCTTTCCCGGGCCATGTTCACCTTTTGCGAGCAGGCCACCACCTTTGTCAGTACCATCCTCTCTGATGATATGCGGCTCGATCGATGTCTCTAGGAGCTGAACATCATTGAAATGGGCCCATATATGCAAATCCTCAAGTGGTAGAGAAGACTGCCTCATATTGCGGTCCCGGCAAGATCGGTGGATCGTGATTTGGTGTCAAGTCTATGCTGCTTGTCTGAACATCAAGACACTTGATATTCCCATGGGGGTAGTTGTCGGGAAATATCGGAGGGACTGAGGAATCAAGGCTTGGCACTCGGCGGAGTATAGCACTCACATGTGCAGAAATCCGCCCAAGAACCGGAAGTAAAAGAAGCTGCCAGAACACTTCCGGGGCTCCCACTTCCGCCCCTTCTGCATGCCCCTCATTTTCGAAATCATACTTGTACAAGTGCAAAGTAGGTGTCGATCGGAACCGGTCGAGGTGGACCACTTCCAAAGATGGGCCATGCTCTTGACGGACTTGTCGACCTGGGCATCGCTAACCTCGATACAGCAGAGAGAATGTGGGATCTTTCCAGGTGATGTTCTGTTTCTTGATTCTGACGTCAAACTGACTTGGCCACCATCACCATGTCGTTGTTGCATCCTTTTCTGGTTTACACGACGATCAATTTTGCCTAACTGTATTTAGTCTCTGGTAATATCCTGGCTTTGGACATGGCGGCGGGAGCAACTCCCTGCGGTGACCTGGTGAATGAGGGCAAACCTGGGGTTCAACACACCCTATTCCGGACCAGACTACTCCATCTATTTGATGGTGAGTGAATAGCAGGGTTTATGTCACCTGGCAGATGCCTTAGAAACACCGTCTTGCTGTTTCTTACAAGAGAAATTTCCCCATATCCTTAAGACTGACCACAGCGATGGTGGTAAGGACAAAAGTGGGTTTCCGGAAGTCCCATACAGGCGCTTTACATGCCCTTCTTCCAGTTGGCTCCCACTGTATTGTAGCAGTTATGTCATTGCCCGGAGGCTATCGCAACATGAACTGCCAGTACATACCATATGTCCCGTTGGGAATGTCAAGTTACTGGCCCTGATGACACCCATGGCGGAAGGATTTTATTTGTGCAGTCTTGATCTCACTTACGTAACCCGCACAAGGCTGCAGCCTCGTCATATGCGAAGAAGGAATGTATTCCGATGTTCAGCCTTACGAACCCCGCATTTTCTGCTCGCTCTTCATGTGTTGTGAGAACTCCTTCGGATTGGTCGTCACGTACTCGGTACATGGCCTGGCGATCTTGGCCCGGTCTCACCAAATTGATTTGCGCGACTTTGTCAAGTTCGCTGGCACTTGTCTGGGGACACAACACTGTCAGGACAGCTACCTCTCCGCACACTTGACGGTTCATTGCCTTTGAAGATGCAGCTGGTAGACGATGATGAAGGAAACCGCACAATGGAGGGGGCCCATACTACGCCGATGCAAGCACAGAATCGATCGACTCCAGATTGGTGCAATCAGAAAATCTTTCAACGCAACCGTCTTGCCCCTCGATCCTACTATGTTCCGGATACGGCGGTCTGTTTGAACGGGAAATGGGCTTTCAATTACTCCCAAACTCCCCAACAGGCGCCTGATTGTAAAACATTCAGCAGCCGATCCCCTTTTGAGCCCGAAACACAGGATGTCGCTTGGGCACCCATCGATGTTCCCGGCCATTGGCAGTTGCAGGGTTATGGCAGACCTCATTATACCAACATTGTCTATCCCTTTCCCGTCTGTCCACCTGACGCACCAACGGAGAATCCCACTGGGACGTACTGTCGAGTCTTTGACTTGCCCTCCACGTTCAGCGAGGACAGCCAGCTGAGACTGAGGTTCGACGGCGTGGACAGCGCCTTCTATTTGTGGTTGAATGGAGAGGAGGTCGGCTATGCTCAAGGGAGTAGGAACCCAGCAGAATTCGACATCACGAAGCATGTACGAAGAGGCAAGCCCAATCATATTCTGGTCAAAGTTCTTCAATGGTGCTCTGGAAGCTATATTGAGGATCAAGATCAATGGTGGCTTTCCGGTATCTTTCGCGATGTTCACCTCATAGCGCTTCCAGGCCGGGCGCGAATCGAGGATTTCTTTATCAAGACGCAGCTTGACGAAAAGTACGAGGATGCGGCACTGGACATTGACATCGACTTGGTTTTACAAGATGAATGCCTCCTGTCATTAGACCTCAGAGATACCAATGGCAAACTTATCACGAAAGAGAAGCACATTCCCCTTGCATCAAAATCTACAAAGTACTCACATTCAATCAAAGTCCCGAACCCACACAAATGGACTGCAGAGACGCCTTATCTCTACACCCTAGAGATACGCCTTTCGTCCGCTACGGGCGGTGCTAACGCGATTCATTCCATCAACCACGCAGTGGGTTTTCGCACCGTTGAGGTCAAAAATGGCAACATCCGCGTCAACGGGAAAGCCATTCTATTCCACGGTTCCAACCGCCATGACAACCATCCGCACCTCGGCCGTGCAGTTTCATCCGACTGGGTCCGTCGCGATCTTCTTCTAATGAAGAACCACAATATCAATGCAGTGCGCTGTTCCCACTACCCTTCTCATCCGAGTCTGCCTGGGCTCTGCGACGAGCTCGGTTTGTGGGTCATCGATGAAGCAGATCTCGAATGCCACGGCTTCGCAGCTGCGGCGGCTTCAGGGCTCAACCTCGAAGGTCTAAACTATGAGGAAAAGGTGCGGCGTACATCGAAGGACGCCGCAGATTACACCTCGGACAACGTCGAGTGGGAGTCTGCGTATCTCGACCGTATGTATCAATTGGTCGAACGTGACAAGAACCATCCAAGCGTTATCATTTGGTCGCTGGGAAATGAAGCATTCTATGGCCGGAATCATGCTGCCATGTCCAAGTGGGCGAAGGAACGCGATCCCGGCCGCCTGATACATTACGAGCCAGACTGGCAAGCCAGAACGACCGACATGATTTCACACATGTACACGTCTCCTGCTGACTTGAAGAGAGAAGCAGAGTCCGAGGGTGATGATTTCGAAAAGCCCATCATACTATGCGAATATGCTCATGCAATGGGCAATGGTCCCGGGCTTTTGAACTCCTACCGGTCCCTTTTCCGCTCACACAGACGGCTCCAAGGAGGGTTCATCTGGGAATGGGCGAATCATGGACTGTGGAAAGAAGATGTCGACGGTAAGAAATACTATGCGCATGGTGGCGATTTTGGTGACGTGCCGAACGATGGCACTTTTGTCATGGATGGCCTCTGCCACAGTGACCATACGCCCTCACGGGGTTTGGTAGAACTGAGGAAGATATACGAGCCAATCGAGGCCGTGCTCGACAGGCAGGATCTTGTTGTCCATAACCACTACGATTTCATCGGATTGGAACATGTCAGAGCAGATTACAATGTTCAAGAACATGGCCAGAGGTTTGTTCTACCCTTGTCTTCGTTTCAGATGATCATATGGAGCTATACCTGACGAGTTCGTGCATAGCTCTAATCTCATTGCTGCCGGGGTGTTGGCCATTCCTCCAGTCTCTCCTGGGGAGCAGGGTAGAATTCATCTGCCGCAAGATATCTTCAAACATGAGGGTACCCACGAGCGCTATCTCACGGTTACCTTTCGGTTGAAAAGGGATACCCCATGGGCAAAGGCCGGCCAGATGATAGCCTGGTATCAGAGTCCACTGCGAGCGCTTGCCACAGATCCCGCGCCATCCCAAGCCAGCACCATCTCCTCGAAGCATGGAAGCAACTCAGGAACGCCTACATCTACACCAGCTTCCTCCAGCACACCATCGCTCATATTCTCCGCAACCAGCCTGGAGTACAAAATCTGCAACTCCTCGACCACCGTCACCTTTGACCGGGTCCGCGGCCAACTCTCCTCGCTGATCCATAACTCGAACCCACTCCTTGCCGATACGCGTGTTGAGAGCCACAACCCAGCTTCACCCTCGCCGCTGTTGTCCCTGGACTTCTGGCGGCCACCGACGGACAATGACAACGCATGGCAGTCGGATGAATGGAAAAGATACGGGTTGCATATGATGACAAGTCGATTGAAGAGTTTCCAAGCGTGCGTGCGTTCGAGCCTGACTGCCTCGACGTCGATCCATACATCCCCGGCCAACGGAAGCGTGGAGGTTTCGGCGGTGACTTTGGAGGCCGAACATGCGCTCTCTCCACCGAGTCAGGCCTGGCATTTCGACGCCGTTACTACCTACACAATCAGTACCGTTTCGAGCCCTGGGTCGGGGTCGAGTGACCCCAACAGCACCTCCGCCGCCGCAGGTACAGAGTCTGGGCTGACAATACAAATCCACACGCGACTTATACCACGTGGCTCGCATCCCCGCAACCTCCCTCGAGTCGGGCATTCCATCCAACTCGCTCCAGAATATAAACATGTCAAATGGTTTGGCCGCGGGCCGTTGGAATCGTACAACGACAAGTACCTCTCTCAGCAGATGGGTATCTGGCAATGTAACATCGATGACATGGCGGAGCACTATGAGGTGCCACAAGAGAATGGGAATCGGTGTGATGTCCGATGGTGCACGGTCGCTGCAGCAACATTAGCTGATGCCGCTCCCACCACAGTCACTGGAGACGATGGCGGCGAGGAAGCCGGACGCGACCTCGCTGATGGGAAGAGGACACCAGTTCCAACAAGTCGTTTCCCCGTCCTCCGCGCGACGTATCTCCCCGGCACACCTGAGCGCGACAGCCCTCACATGCAGTTTTCCACGCAGCTCTACGACGCGGCCACGGTCGAGATGGCAAAACACCCATGCGACCTACTCGAGCCAGGCAAGCGGAGGAAAGGGGCCCTTTGGCGGCTCGACGCAGACGTCGCGGGAGTGGGAACTGCGGCGTGTGGCCCCAGCACAGAGGAAGAAGATCAGGTTCTGTGCCGGGAGAGAGAGTGGACTCTTGTCCTGCAGGTTCTCCCAAAGTTAGTATGAGGGATGAATTTGAGAGTTGGCCGTCAACCTGCTAGTTGTACTCGTAGCTGGCAGAAGGGTGTCGATCATTGGTTGGTGATGTTGTGGTTCTTCTTTACGAGTACCTACGGAGTACGAGGTTCTCACAGCACAAGCCAGGAAGGACCAGATGCTCTTGACAGGACCTCCCGATTTGGATGCAATGTCCGACTGTTGATTATCGCTCCATATGGCCATATGGGTACCTACGAGTACTCATAAGCCCTGGTCCCAAGGATTGGAATCCATAGGTGAACGGTCGTGGACTAGCGGAAGTGATTTGAGCAAGCGGGGGCTGTGATCGTCTCAGGATGAGATTGAACATTTGAAGAAGATCCAGACCCACGCGTGGCTTCCAGGGATTTGCATCTCCTTGCACATCAATAACAAACAAAACTAACTTCGACACGCTCGCGCTGTTCGGGTAAATCACGTGTAATATGTTTACTACTCGCAGTTGCGAGCATGAACCCCCTCTAGTAGTATTTGTACACTATTGCTACATCCAGACAAGCTTGTTGGATACTGGAACATGTGATACATCGGCCGAACCAGGCTCTGAGACCCCTGTTCCAACTCGAGATTCCTTACATCAGGCTGATCCGTTTTCCAAGTACCTGATACTGATATTCAAACTAGACGTGTGTAGAGAGGCAAATGACACCGCAGCTGATCAAAGATTTGACCAAGTAGAGGTAGTCAGTCGTCACATCTTCAATCGGACCAAATCTTCCTGCGATTAGTTCCATTTGCCCTTGATTCCACAATCGCCTGAGCCTCGCTTGTCTCGCAGAAAATATGAGTCAACATCAAGCAACCACGATTCGTCCCTGATGATATTCCTTCTGTTCCATCTCCAGCAGAATGGGCCTCTTGTACACGGAGACGGAGCCGACCAGATTTGATAGTATCCCACGTGTGGCGGACGGTCAAGCCGAACAAGTACATTGCCGTGGCACATTTCAATCCACCTGCCCCCCGAGGTCCGCTCTCTCGATATACCAAATATCCAACAAGACATCATTGACCACTGTAGATCCTGAAGGTCCCACCACGCTCTAACCAACAATGAAAAATGAGCAAGGGAAAACCAGACGTCAACGCCAGGTGTGATATGCGATACGAAAGCAAAGAATATCATAACATGTACACGGAGATATTGTTCCGATGCTTTGCTCAGTCGGAGATAACATAGGTGGCAGTGCCCGATATGACGGAGACCTGTGACGAGGTTAGCCTCACTCAATGTCCAAGAGAGAATTGGAGAGTTGACTTACAGTGCATCCCTGAGAGTTGCATCCACTAGCACCACAATATTGTCCGTTTGAGTATTTGCAAGACCCGGACAAATTGCCCTTCAACTCAACAGTGCCTTGATATTGGGCATTGGTTGTTGGGGAGTTTTGGAAGATCGATAGCCAAGTAATACCTCCTTTGGCACCCACACCAAAGTTGATGGGAGCATAGTTACCAATGTTCTGTCCAGGTGATCCCCATTGGCAACCTTGAGAAGCAGACACTCCAATAGGGTTGAGATAATACTGGGCCGAAGTTGATTGTCCTTGCCATTCGTAGTAGGAGGCAGCATCGGGAACAGTCAACTGCTCTGTTTCGCCAGACTGGAGTTCAACTGGGATGGTTTCGGATTCGGTCCCAGGATAATCTGTACGGCAGATAGCAACGACACCGCCTGCGTTGTTGGTGGCTTGGACGCCACCAACGCCAGGAATGCAGAGGCTTTTTGAGAGACCTGGATTGGTCAGATGAAGCTTGCCGCCCGAGCAAGAAAGGCCGCCAACGGATTGACCTGTAGCACCTTGGGTGGAGGGCCATTGAGATTTCTGGTAGCCTGGAGGGCAAGCGTAGGAGCACATCATTCCCTCTGAGCAAGACTCGCCCGAGATACCCGTCACAATATGGTTGACAAATCCGCCAGCGATAGAGACCGCTTGCAACCCAGACCAGCCTTTCATTCCGAGGTAGTCCAGAGGAATGGCGCCATAGTCGGAGGGGAAAGTGCTGCAATCGAGTTGACCATCCGGGAATTCAGCAGTGATACCAGCGCCGCCCGAGGACACGGAGGAAGACTGAGGAGCAGAGCTGGAACTGGCAGAATCGCTTGGGCTGGGCCAAGCGGCCGAGGATGGCTTTTGGAAGAACTCGGCTGGTGGAGAGGAAGAGGCAGCTGCCGACCAGGTAGTGGTGGTTGAAGGGGTCGTACTCGATTCCGTGGAAGTCGAGGAAGTCGAAGAGGTGCTGGCAGTGGTTGAAACCTGCGAGCAAACACCAGGATCTTGACCATCCACAAACTTCAGTTCGTTATCCTCCAACCCTTCGCACACCTCTCCGGCCGAGAGCTGTTTTCCATTGAGCATATAGACATAGGCAGTCGGGCCTGCTGTCCAGGCAGTCTCGGTCACATCGCGCTCCTTGTGCTCGTGCACGTGTCGATGTTTGTGAACGTGAGGTTGGGCGAGGGTGGCAGAGGCAGCGACTGCCGTCAAGGCAACCGATGAGAACCTCATATTGACTCCGGTATGGTTCTCGAAAAGGGTGTACGCAACAGTCTCTCAAAGACCGGCTATGAAGGGACCGTGATAAGTGTATGCTATGTGAGACTGAAAAAGATCAAGCCTGACGACCCTGTGTGGATGCACGACCCGCGTGTTAGTTCTTTGTCTGATTCCAATCTTTGAGAATGAATTTGCCCGTGAAAGAGGCGAATAAAGCAAGGGGCGGTTCGAGGCCGTTTGCAGGTCAGGAGGGCATACAAAGCCAGAGACTCATATGATCAGTGCTGGAATGTTGGACGTGGAGGCTCGAGTGCTCACTGGTGATTTTCGGAGCGAGGGATCCGAAGGGAGGCTGGCGGTTCGATCAAAGGTTCTGTGCAAAAGGAGCGAACGAGAGAAATGTCTCTCTGGTAATGAACGTGAGCCGACTGAGGGCGACGGAGAGAGGAGGATGAGTAGAGGACAAAAGAAGGACAGTCGTGGTGAACGAGAGTGAAAATGCAGTGTTCAGTTGGGTCTAGAATGGAACGAGCTCGTTATGCAGGTTGGGAAAGAAAAGGGAAAGGGGAGACGACAGACGCAATCCTGGGCGCCATGATCTCTCGGGGGGTGATTCCTTTGTGTCTGGGGGTGGCCCAGTTAGTTGCCGCTCAGGAACAGGTAAAGCCTGGAGCGCACCCCTGCACCTGTCCATTGGCAACCCCTGGAGGTTCAAAGGACTGCACGAGGATTGCACCACAAAGAAATTGCAGCCCCACTAGGAGCGCCCTCGATCGCCCGCTAACAAAGCTAGTTTGGGATCTAAAGTTATTTTGTCCCATCATGCAGCTGGCTATCCCTACCTAGTGGCACTGTCATTGGCTTGGGACTTTGACTACAGACAAACGAATGTGAACAAAGCAACGGCCGTCCAGAGGCCAACAACAGCCCCCTTCAGACCGTTGGCATTGGCCTTGACTTTTCAACGTGGATACAATGATCAGGCGAAAGTGGTGATAAAAAGGTCGTGGTGTCAAGGGGAGAAACGAGCCTATGAATGATTGTGCAGGCGATAAGGAAGCTAATCATCCTCTCAGAGACATTGCTACGCTCCTCCACAGCCCAGATCAACGCAGCCCGAGATAGAGGCCACGCAACCTCTACTCTGTTGTCGTACGCATGCACTCTACAAGGGACTCGCTTCCTATACCCCCAATCTCCTACTGGCATACGATCGAAAAGATACCGGGACACGGCAAGCACTGCACATCTTGGCACATATCTTCGAACCAAGTCCTCGTAATTGCCGAGAGACTTGCTTGCGGGCACAAAATATTTTTGAGACAATGGTTACTCTACCCGTACACAAGCGGGCCTATCTGGGGAAGTTATACCACAAGCAATACTTGGATGTGTGACCGGATACGTGAGACTTGTGGCAGTACTGTTCCTTCCACTGGGACCAGTTGTTCAAACCATTCTCTACCACTCAACATGGCACGAACAAGGAAGTGCTCGTATGCCTAAAAGCTGGAATGAACAGACCCGCACAGAATGGAGCTCTGGATAATATGGATGGCTTGTTGGAGCCTGCAATTCGGGCATGACTCTGATCCCAAGCAGATCCAACTTCGTCAAGGACACGGTCCATCCATCCGTTTGTGACTATTTCTATTGCCTAAGCTGTGCGACTTACATCCAGGCAGCCAATTCCTTGTGAGACTCAGATGACACCCTTGCCCAAATCAAAAATATTAGCCAGTCGATTTCTGCTCCCCAGTACTACAAGTGATTTTAACGGGTTACACAGGCCATTATTGACCACGCGTCTGGCGATGGACGCAAGACCTCTGTTCTCCACACTGGATCTCGTTGGAGAGGATGAGAACCTCCGTATGATTAGAGTGGGGTTGAATGACACAGGCTACGTACTTGTACGGAGTACCTACTGTTTTGCAAGGAGCCGTCCCCTGGTTCTATCAAGGACGTACGAGGTGCTTGCGTCGCTGCGACCTCGAATATTCACAAAGCGTGGCTACGACAACGGTTTCAAGCTCCCTAAAGCCACCGCACGTTTTTATCGTGGCCTTCGCTAAGGAGTTTGGTTTCTGGAACCAGTGGGGAGAAGGGGATACTCGTACGAAGTACTCGGTACTCTGAGAAATCGCGGGACTGTCCCAAGGTCAAACAGCCAGACATCACCAGGAACGCCTCAAAACTTTGATCCGAGCAAGATCATTGGCGGCCTTTACTGAGATGAAGCCCCTAAGATGTGGCGGTATTGGCCCTTATCGATTGTCACCCAACCACAACCGCAAAATGGCACAACCTTATCAAGCGCCTTCAGAAAGCCTCCCAGACGCCATGTAGCTTGTCTTGTTTCACCCTCCCGGACTTGCATGATCCTGCAATCTTGTGCACGCATGCGAGCACTTTACCCTTCCACGCACGAGCATGCCGGCACACAACTCCGAGTACTCGTAATCGTGGAGACCATGGAAGCAAACAATACATGGTGGCTGGAAATCGATGAGCCCCCAAAGCCAAGATACCAAGCGAGGAGCGATCGTGATGACTTGCAGCAACTTCATAGCTGAGAAATCTTCCGAGCCACACGCCCTTCTCGCCTACCGCGCCACAGTTCGGTAGGGGCTGGCTGATGTTGATAGTCAATTCACTGCTTACGTGTATAAGTACTCATATGAGGTATGCATACGTGCTCCGTCCCCTGATGAGTTGTGCGCTTACGACTACGTTGTGCATGGGAGGCCTAGTTGTTGTGTATTTTATCGCAGTACCAGTGGTTCAAGATTCCGTGATCGTAAGTAGGACGACAAAGGCCTATATCTGAATATGAAACCTCCTTACCTTATGGATCAGATACTCCGTGCCTGTTTGCCTACCCGCGAATGCCGCCATCGACTGTACCAAGCACTGGTCATCAAATTCCCATGTCCTGTACGTGCATTCTACACACGCGGAAGGACATGCCATGGTCAAGCCAAAGCGACTTGCTGTAGCTGCACCGGAAAATAAACGTCCATCTCCACCAATTTTCGGATATCAATGTGGCAATGCCTCTGAGAAACTCCTTTGATTAACCTCGTAGGAGTGACAAAGTTAAGCCCACTCTGGCTTTTTTTATTCCAATCAAAAAGTATCAGGGTTCCCAATGAAGCTGAACAAATCCGGAACTCCGGCGCTCGCGGTTCGTCAGCGGCCAAAACAACGCGTCCAGCAATGCGCCGATCCATCAGAAACAGGAAAACAAGGATTTGACTTCGTGCCATCCTACCATATCACACATGACCTGGTACTACTTTTTCTCATAACTTGTCGATGAGATCGCGAGCACCACGACAAAACTCGCAATGATGAGGGAACCCGTGATAAAAGACACAGCAAAGATGCTTCCTCGGCTTGCTGGAAATTTGCCGCGAATGATCCAGTGCTGGGCTTCGAAGTAGCGATGGAAGCCGATAAACAGGATCACAATCGATATGGCAATAAATGTGGCTCCAAGCGGCTTTCCGACATGGCGCAGTTTCGTGGCAGCAATGTTATTTGATGCGACGGTCTCCGCGCCATTTTCGCTCGAATGGTCATTGGCAGTATCAGCGTTGCCTAGACCGCGTGGCGGAAGGAGAAGTAGTTGGTCTAGGAGGGTAGGACCGAGGGTCGGATTCGACGGTGGCGTTTCAGCAACTGATGCTGCCAACTGTTGGAGAAATGGCAGTAGCTCGGCTGGCATGGAGTGCCCAACAAGGGGCGAAAGGGGTATCGTTTGTCGTATGCTGAGAGACTCACTGCGACTCTGGATCGTGGTGTTGAGGCGAAAGAGCTGGGTAATGGCAATGCCGATGCTCGCAAAGGCTAGGCTAGTCCTCAGCCAGGCGAGGAAGGTTCTCTCTAGAGCAAGATGGTCCCGGGCCACAGATCCTTTATTCTCCAATGTGACCGAGCCATATTTTTCAGGGATTTTCTTCAACCACTGTGGTGCCCAGGAATGTTTGGAGTCTTTCTGCCCATCATCTTGATCGTCCTCCTGCCCGGTGCCTGCAAGGGTGGAGGAGCCGAGGGTTGAAGAACCTAGGGTGCTTTGGGGAGTCCCTTCGTCGGTAGTGTTATACCGTCGATCCGACTGTCCGTTCGCCGTTCGAATGGGAGTGATCTCGTCCGACTCGCTGGGGTTTCGACGATAGGATGACATGGGCGTTTGAGAATGTGACTTGGTACTCTCAGAAAATCGAATGCTAGATTGCCGCCTCGGAGGAAGCGATTGCGCTGCAGACTCTGGAGTTATGTCTGAAGAAGAAGAAAGGGATTCTGGGTCGCCATTATCGTCGTGCTTGAGCGATGCCATGGCCTCATAGCTTGGTGGGGAAACATATGGTATCCGCAGCCTCGGAACCGGGATGGTTCATATCAACGAGTCTGGATCACGATTCTAGTTAGTGGTCCTTGGAATGTGAGACCGATAGCTCTTCCGGTACTGGGAGACTGGGAGATATTGAGCTGTGGGGAGTAGAACCAATGGTTAGTTGTTCACAGTCCCGAAGTGAAGAGACTGTTCCAGGGAGCTCACTAGAGCGAATGAGCTTCGATCATGGAGTCTTGGGGGGAATATTTCGGGGCAGTTGGCAAAATGGCGTAAGCTGTGAGTGTTGTGCAAGAGTCCAGGTTATGGCGTGATAGAGATAAGGGAGCACGACAGTATTGTGGTGAAGTGTGTTTTGGCACAACCTTCAGCGGTCGAGACTTTGGGGACAAGAGCTCTCTGGTCTTCGATAGTTTGACACTGTCATCCTGCAGTACTCGTAGGGTACGTGGGTACCTAGAGCCAGACCTGTCGTGCCTGTCCAGCGAATAACACGCACAGCGTACCTTTAGGCGGTGTGACTGCAGCAATGAGATCATTTTGTTATGTAAGTGTCGCCCACTAGTAGATGCTCTTTTGGTGGGGAAGCAGCACGCGAGCCTGCCTGCCTGCCTAGCACGTCTGTGAGTACCTCGTACTCACTCCTACCATGGGTTTGGGAGTAGGTGTAGGAACATTGCCGCTGACTACGCTGCACTTTGGAGACATGGGGAGCACCTTGCCGAATAGACCTGGCTAGGTTAGGTACTGTGATACCTACCACGCCTACTTCAGGCGAGCATCACGAAGAATAGCCAACTGGACACCCTCAAAACCCCACCCAACAATCTCTCAAGGAAATAGCTGCCTAACATTGTAGTTAAGATGATATTGAATGATCCTCGCCTCGACACTATCGATGGCAGCACGTTTTGCGTGATCGGGTTTTACAGGCTCGCCAGGCCGAGTAACACCCAGCGGTCGCCAAACAGGATTCTCCCGAGATATCTTCAGGATCGTGATCCGTCCCTGACCATGATCGTACAGTTCAAAGTGAGCAGCAGCGACTATTGTGAATTCTGCGATCTTGAAGAGTATCCATCAACAAAACACGTCTGCGCCTGAACCGCATCTTTGGGACGATGTGAGAGCTAGCTGGGGGTTCGCACGTTGTGATAGAGCTGAAGGACAGATACCGCAAATGATCAGCTGCGATCTACATAGCTCTGGGCAAAGCTGTCCAGGTCGACTGTGGCCAAGGGGGTTGACAGGATCGATTACGGGGTCAGAGGGTACACTCTTCAGAGAGAAGGTCTATGGCATCGTGTCGGGAATCTCCATAAAGACCATTAGATTTTGGGGTGTACCAAAGTTACGGCGGACAGATATCAGATATGTGGTATGGGATTTCAGCTAACACTATTCGTGTATATCACCTTGCCGCCGTTAAGTACAGACGCGGGGTAAGATCCTCGAGCAATTCCCGGGTGTTGGTGGGCCAGCTTACAGCTTTCACGCCACCCGCGAAATTCCCCCCTTCTGACAATGCTTAATGTGGCCAGCAAAACGAACTCCAAGGACTGCGAGTCTCATTCCTCCTTGCTCTGTTGTTCCAAATGCCTTAGCTTACCATGACGTTGGAGGTATCATCCAAACACATCAATGCCGACGCCGACGGCGGGCATGGAAAGGCGCCTCAAACAATTCCAAAGTTGATTCCTGGTTCTCGAAGAAAGTCTGCTCAGCAATCTGGCTCATCAGAACTTGCCCCCCAAACACCTACATTACCCGCTCCTCCGTTGATCGAATCTATACATTTCACCACGCCAGTCAAGAGAATCCTGTCACCGGGTGACCATGAAAAGTTCCTCGCCTCATCAACCTACGTGCTGATCCTGGGATGGATCTTTACCCTCGCTGATTGCGTTCGCGGCCGTCGAATTTCCGCGCTGGACACTCAGAATTTGTCAACCACCATCAAGAACCTCGATGCCGTGCTTGACCACCTGGAAGGAATGTTAAAACAGTATCCGCCTCTCGACACGGGATCGAGATTTGGCAATCCGGTCTTTCGCAGTTTGCACAAAGCCATTGTAAGAGACGTGGACAGAATACACAAGGACATATTGGGGCTGCATAATGAGGATGCCATCAAAGAGATATCTGTCTATCTGATCAACTCGTTTGGTTCTGAGGAGCGACTCGATTACGGGTCGGGCCACGAGCTGAATTTCATGATGTGGTTACTGTGTCTATACCAGCTGAAGCAGATCGAACGAGAAGACTTTCAGGCAATCGTACTGCACACTTTCGTCCGATACCTGAACCTCATGCGAAAGATCCAGAGCACATACTACTTGGAACCTGCAGGAAGCCATGGAGTTTGGGGCCTTGACGACTACCAATTCTTGCCCTTCTTGTTTGGAGCAAGTCAGCTCGTCGGGCACCCGTATATCACGCCCAGGTCGATCCACAACAATGTTGTTCTGGACGAGGAAGGCGACGACTACATGTACCTCAACCAAGTCCGATGGGTGGATAGCGTCAAGACTGTCAAGGGACTGCGCTGGCACAGCCCCATGCTAGACGATATCTCGGGGGCAAAGAGCTGGCAAAAGGTGGAAGACGGCATGAGAAAGATGTTCGTCAAGGAAGTGCTGGGCAAGTTGCCCATCATGCAACACTTTCTATTTGGAGGCCTAATCCCGGGCACTGAGGATATGGGCCAACTGGACGAGGAGACACTGCGGGCTCAGGCGGAGAGAATGCAGCATGTGAAGGAATATGGGCACGAGCCTGACTACTGGGGCGACTGCTGTGGTATCAAGGTGCCCAGCACGGTAGCAGCAGGCGAAGAAATGAGGAAGCGCATGGGCACGTCGGGCGCACTCCGCCCAATACCTTTTGATTGAGAGGCCCGCGGGTGCATCTGCAGGGCCACGAACACGCCACTGTGTGGTGAGAGAATGGGCGAATCAAACAGTCAGAAGCTATACCGCGGCCAGGCAGCAAATGGTTGGTCCAACGGGTGATGTGGAGACACTGGGCGAGCTCTGACCGGTTACCGCCAACTCTTGATTTTCTCCCAGCGCTTCCTTTGGAACACATCCTCAGTCCTTGCTGCCCCTGGTACTATTGGCCCAAACGACGAAACCAGCTCCGACCAACACTGAAGAGGATGAGGGGTCTTGACTATCACAAGAAGAGGAGAGGGTTGGACATGCGGACGCCTCGCCTCATGGAGACGAGACTCTGAGAATCTGCCTGACCAGACCGTGGTACAAGGATGTGGTGATCCGCGTAGTCTTAACTTTGCCGTGGTTCTCATGTGCTAGCTAATATTGTGGTGCAGTCCAGTATGCGCACAGCTTCTTCTGGGCAATGATTGACAGACGATTTGACCGGTTGCTTTTCAGCCTTGCCTGGTTCCCAAATGCCAGTCACAGCCAGCGTCCCACTAGCTCATCAACGAGACAATTGGCATCCCGACCAACGAGGCAAACCCCTCCTTGAGTTCCATCCAGTGTTGAACTGAGGTGCTCCCTCATGGTTTGACCACTTCACCTTTCGTCTTCACTCGCACTTCTTCCTTTGTAACTGTGTGAAGTGTTTGGTCAGATCAGTGTTAAGTTTCTGCAAACCTCCCTCGAGCACATCTCGATCCCGTTTATTCTGTCCTTACACCACGTCTAACCCTCACTGTCGGCTTGTGAACCGGTCCTCGCGACCCCTCCCTCACAGCAACCCTATCGCAGAGCCCCTCCATCCCGTGGGAACCTCAACCAAGATGGGGAAGAAATCCAACAGATTCTTGAACTTCACCACACCTCCACCGCTGTCCAGGCACCCATGGATCTATGTGAATGATCCGACAACCAACACCCCCCATGCCACCAGTCTCCAGGACTTGATTGGTGACTGTATCGTCTCCCATCACACCCGGCACGACGGCGACCTCTCCTCGACGCAAGAATCGGAGACTGAGAAGATGGCCGTCTGTCTTGATATGCTCAAGGACGACACCTTCAGCGCCGGCCAGAATGTTTTTCTCATTACGGAGCATCTCGCCGACTCCAAGACTGCGGATAAGCTCGAGACTGCCAGGAAGTTCCGCGAGCAGGCTATCAAGGGTGGACGCAACTTTGCCAGCGTGAATCTTTATCTTCAGGACGGAACAAAGAAGAAGGAGAAGGCCAAATGGGGCCCGAATCATCTGGAGCTGGGTATCACAAATATGACCGTCAAGGAAGTCGCGCAAGAGATCTACCAATGGCTATGTATGGACCTCCCCGCCGCTCCCCTTGTAATCGATTTGTTTTTGGCATACTGCGCCTCGAACTTACATATATCCGCGTCGCTTTCAGTCACGGTCTTGTCCCCAGCCGAGCACGTCCACCTCATCCCACGCGCCAGATTGCTCGCCGTCGATAAGCGTAATTTCGCCGACTACGCATACTGCCCAATCGCCGACACCAAGAGCCGCCCGATGGATGCCAAGATCCAGTTCGTTGTTGTCATCATTACGAAGCCCGTCGTGGTTCCGAACACCCAACGCCTCCAATGGACCGTGGCCGACAAGTCTGGCATGGTAAGTTCAACGACGCTCCAGTCACCTGTACCAGCCGGGCGCTGACCATAGCTGCTGCACAGGGAAATTTCTACTTCCAATACCGCGGTGACACCTCGCAGTACACCTGGGATTGGGTTCTGGCCCTCAAACCAGGAGACGTCAAGGCCCTCCCGCGCATGCCGATGGTTCAAGTCAAGGAATCGCGTCACCTGCGGTTCGCTAAATTCCCGCTGCGTACCGCAGGTTCCGCCATGACGGGGATTGGTCTGGCGCTCAAGACCGTGGGTCACGGCGTCGCCAAGCTCGGCGACATCACGTCCATGGGTAAGTCGTCGGAATGGGTCCCTTCGGGTGACGTCGTCGTCGACGAGAAGGATGGCAAGGTCAAGAAGATCGATTGGGCGGCCAAATTTGCGCAGGAGAGCAAGGACCGCAAGGCAAAGTTTGAGGAGACGCAACGTGGACGCTGTGCCAAGTTGAAGGCCGCCGTGAAAAAGCATGGTCTGCCGAAAGAAAAGGATGGGGAGAGTATGGGAGACTCGAACACGTTGAGAGGCAGCGAGTATGAGAACGAAAAGGCCATTGTGTCAGAGAAGGAGTTCTGCTGAAGGCCTCCTCCAATAAGCAAAATCGGCCCATCCGTGTGGACGCTGCCAATGGGTGAGCACATGGGAGTGTCAGAGCAAGTCAGTGTTTCCAGGATGCTGAGGAGTTGTTTGCAGTGGAGGTTGGTTCGCCAGTCTGCTGATTCTGCTTGCTCCACGGTTTGTGCTGCATGACAAAACAAAGCACGAGGTCCAAATCTTACCTGGACTGCATACCCGGAGAGGAAGATCGAGCAGAGTCGTCCCGTCTGGGAAATCCGTCAGAATAATAATAAGTAATACGTTTCCGGCGAAAGGGGTTTCAAACCGGCCGGCCAGGCGTCATCTACATAATCATCAAGCTGAATACCGAGTAGTCCAAGGGTGGTGGTGGCTGATGGTAATTCAATTCCCTGCGGTACGCATTAAACGACAGTGCATTTCACTCGGGCAAGGAACCTACCACCCAAAAGCTCTTGTGAGTAAACATCTTGTTATCAAAAGGGAATTAGCTACCCAGGAGAGTATGGCGGGCGGATGGGCGGGCGATGCGAGATGCATTCCTGTAGGGACACAGCCACCACCCATTCTCGCCCCTCGCTTTGGCGTTCTCGTTACAGGTTCATTATGTTGGAATTCCTCACTGGCTAACGCCCCCAACCAAAGACTGGCTGACTACTTGGGTACCTACCTGGCTGGGCATCTGTCGCACGAGTACTTCCAAGTCATCGGGCAGCTGAGGTCGGTGGACCACCAAAGGCGGTTGGGTGGAGGACATCCACCCACGCGCGGGCGAGACAGAGATACAGAGAGAGTGGGAGCTAAGATGTCAGTTCCTTCGCCCCAGGCACTTGCAGCAAACTGACTGCGTGTCTCTTTAGGCTCGTGAGGCATGTGGCGCCTGTCTGTACCCGCACCGCATACCCAAAGACTCGGAAATCCATCCTCGACGGAGACAGTGAGCCATACGCAGCAAAAGACCATGTCAACATTGTTCCGGAAAATGTAATAGATACAAGTCACAAAGTACCTCTCCAGAACCACACAGAAGTACTGACTATAGCCTCCGAAGTCCCTCCTCCTCTTGCGGTGGCGTCCCCCCAAAGATCTTCTCAGACGCCGTGTCCTGTATCGTTAGCTCAAACACACCCCCTGATAAAAGTCCGTTCCGTCCACCGTCGTTCACTCGTTCGCTTCATTCATATCGTCCATCCCTCATTGTAACAATCATACATCAGAGACACCGGTGTCTCCTCTGACCAAACACCAACCTGGATGCCTTTCCACACATAGAATGTTAATGGATAACCAAACTCTCCTGGAGCCCACAGATGCCTGCCGGTTAGCATCTTGGCATGCATTGCATTGCTGAATATTGTATAGTTCTTGACTGGAACAAGCTTGCAGGGACTGATGCTCAATGGCCTGCATCAATGCAAAGACCACATAATGCCTTGTGCAGCCTTGCCTGAGGCTCAAAAACGCCTGCGGAATCAATGCCTTGCTGCAAACACCAAAAAAATCCTTCGTTCTGCCGAATCAATACCTGGGGGGGCTGTACCCGTACATCGGGGCGCGTGTGACAATATTAACTGGACCGACGCCGTAAGGGGTATAAGAGTGAGGTGAAGGTGATTTGATGCTCACAACGCGCGGCGGCGGAGACGATGGAGGGTAGGCGTAGGGTTCGGTTTTTGCTCCACGGTATCCATTGGATGCCCGAGAGCCATATGATCCACCATATCCCGAATCGTGGACATCATTGTACTCGTACGCCGTGTAAGTGGTGGGCGCAGGAGTATGCTTTCGAGCCGACGAGCGGGAGCTGCGAAGACTGTCAAAACTGTCTTGACTGTCCTGTCTCCGTCGACGGTAGACGCTTCTGCTGCGTATTTCGACAGGAAGACTTCTGCCCGATTCCTCGTGCCGATGACGTCTCTCATGGCTGTCCCCACGAGCGTAGTGAACATCATCATCCACCAAGTAGATCCGGGTATGCTGTCGACGAGAAGGATGATGGGTGGGGGAGCCGCGACCAGAAGGAGGACTATCCGGCAGAGACTCCCGGATGCTTTGCAGATCTAGGTTTCGCTCTGCGTGCTCCTGCAACCAGGCATCGTCCGCCTTTTGCCTGGAATGGCTGTTCCATTCCTTTTCTCGCGCTGATGGAGGCGCCCACGGACTGATTCCGTCGCCAACCTCATCGTTGCCCGGCAGCTCATCGATCGAAGCTTCGTCATCTTCCCTCGAGTGTCTTCGCCTGTTGATTTCTTGTCCATATCTGCCTTGACCGTCTCGCCCTCGTGTTACTGCGCTGCCCGCTTCTTTGCAGGCTCGGCAGTCACCACTCTTGGGGTAATGATATCTCTCGAGACCTAGACAATGGGAAGAGTGGCACTTGGCGGTGGTCTTGTATTCGCATCCGCAACCGTACGAGGTCTTCGTACGCACACACATTGCTTGGAGGTGAGTGGGAAGCGGATTTTGAGGCTCGAGATGTTCCTTTGAATGACCAAATGATATTTTCGTCCCTGTGTTGCGTGGCGTGGAGCAGGTCAAATCTTTATGCACCGATTGCCCAGTTCACAGAGGTGGTGCAAGCGTCTTGCTTCACAAAATCAGGCACAGAAGGAAGGGCTCAGGTACGAAGGAAGCGGTGAGGCGTCTGTGTCAACGTCTAGAACAAGTGTACACTCAATGTACACTGCGATTGCGGGACTCAAAAGAAGCACAGAGGTCACACAAAGCAAGTCTCAATAGATGCTAGGCGTGACGTCGAAATACTTTCGAGACCCCGTCGGTTTTGTTATTCTCGCTGTTGCACTTCATGGGTGACAGATTCTGTCTCACGTCGGAGAAAGGAAACGTGCATGAGACGAAAGAGGAAGAAATAGTTGTGACAAGAGTGATCAGAAATGGTTCCGAGAGCTTTGTAAAAAAAAAAAAGTTACTGCTGGTACTTGCGGTGTGAAGTAGTGGGAATGTGACAGGTAAAGAAAGAGGGCCTGTGGTGGGCAGAGTGGTGATATCCTCATGCCAGAATTGCGCGAAAAATGAGGGAGAGTCGAAGGCTGGAAGAGGCGGACTAGCTGGCCTTTCACAGGCAAGACTTCGGTCCAGCTGCATGATGCAGAATCCCTCTCCATCTCGCCTCAGATTCGAGCTGCAAAGGACGACGTATGCGAAGAAAACGCATGGCTCGAACAATGTTGTAGCTAGGAAGCCGGGCTCGAGCGGGCGGTCGAGGTGCATGCGACGGTGCTGAGTAGGAGTCCATCTTCGGCATTTTTGGATTGGTGCTTGGGCCAATGCAGGCACCTTGTGGAACGGGACTGCGGACCTCAACGCCCGAGGAAGCAGGGGAAACGAGCCAGTGTGAGAGATGGTCGGCTACAGGCCGTCGCTGACTGGCCGATGCGACGGTTCCTCGCCCTGTCACAGGTGGTTTCATCTCGGTGGCGCCCGCCCCAATTGCCTCAGTCGGCTGTCCTTGCGGTGCCAGTTCTAGCAAGTAGGTCAATCCGCCTTTTTTGCCTCGTTGATCCATTTTGCCAGCCTGCAGGTCTCATTGCTTTCTGGCCTGCGCCCCACCGCCAACTGTAGCTGACATTGGGCGGAGGTGCTGATCTTGGGGCTGCGAATTGGGAGAGCGTGCAGACGGGGAAGCCCAGTTGCGAGAGTCCTTTCACAGTAATCTGGCACCAGAGCTGCGCCGGCGCAGTCATCATTCGCAGTCTGTACCTCCACGTTGCACGGAGCCATTGGAGTGGGAAAAAATCGAGCAGAAATGCTGACCGTTGCCTTGACTTCTAGCCACTGATAGTTTGGGAATTTCCTCGCGCAGTCTGAATTGGTGATATTTCTGCCGCTCGTCAGGAGGAGATCGTTGGAAGAAGAGGATCTAGGCGTGGGGTGCTCATCGGCATCGACTTCTGACTGCAGATTCCGATGGACTGATGAAAGGACGCAGGTGGAGGTGAAGCGGCACGACCATTGGTTTCGAAGCCTTCGTCCGCTGCCCAGCACCTCCTCTTTCCTGATGTTTTTCTCCCTCATCGCGTGGTCCAGAAAGCGCCTTCCACCAGTCAGTTTATAGACGCCCTTCTCTTGAGCTCTGGGGCCCTGCGCCGGGGCCACTAGGCATGGCAGGAGACCTCAGCTGCGCACTCATTGCTCGACGACGGAGTAACAGCCCGCGGATGCATCGGCAAGGTTTGTCAGTGACCCGACTCTCTTCTGACCATCTAGCACTCATTGTGTGTTCGAAAATTTTGCTGGTTGGGTGGCATCGAGGAAATACCAGCCTAGCTGCAGAGGTCTGAGGGACTGCTAGGTCAGATGAGTGCCATGCGGTGCATTTCTATCGAACTCATGTTCGTGGGAGAGAAGGAAGTGAAACCCCTCAAGTTCATTGAGAAGACTTGTCGGTGAGGGTGTGTCGACCGTGCATGGAATGGCCGTGTCGCGTGCTCTGGACCTGGTGCGAGTTGACCGAGTTGGAAAGTCACAATGAATGGGGAAAAGCAAGCCTGGGCTTCTCTTTCGTTCTCGAATCGTCGATGGAGTGATGGATGTCACCCACAGATGTTTGACAACACTACCTTTGTCTTGTCTGCCCACTGTAACCCTCTGCGTTCTGTGTACTTGGGAGATGATCCGTCTTCTACCCTCTACGTTGCTACATTTGCCATCCGACCTCTGCCACCAACTTTGTTCGGGGATTCAGAGCAACCGACCCTGATACCAACAGAAGGTATGTGTGGCAGTCAAAGAAGCAGGCGGTCTGTTGAATCGGTGAGTAACTTGCTATCGCATCGTCCTTCGCCCCTGAGTTTTTGAGCGCTGGCCGCGACACTTAGCGAGGTCAACACCATCCCGGGGCCCGAACTATCGGTGTTCCTTGAAATCCTTCAGCCTCCTCAGTCTCGAAGACAACCCATGTTTAGGCCGTGGAGAAGAGAAAAAAAAAATACAAATGATTTCCGAGTATTTCCTCATATTCCACCAATGAGTCAATGACACAGAGCCATCCGGCACCCTTCCTAGCTCTTTTCTTTCCACCTATCCTTTGATCGGTAATGTCTGGGCACTGGCCATCGGCGGCGCCGTCGATTCAAGTTATGACGCGTGGGTCACCGTGCTTTCTGATGTTGGGCCTCTGACAGTACTCGTCGGCAAATGTAGAGAGATGTCAGGAACATCAGCGGATCCTCCAGCCTCGCACCCACGCCCCAAGCGGCCCATTACCACTATCACCAGTCTTTCTCGGACGTCTGGCTTTCGATGAACTTGTTTCTCCCTTTCATCGAAACAGGATCCCAGAGACTAAGTGCCTTGGAATTGTCTCATGTCAACTGTCGTGGCGTTCGTCCGGCATCGATGGATGGCTAGCTGATGCGAACGACTGTGTCCACATCTGCCTTCAAGACTTCGATCTGTGGGCGTGTCTTTGCTGCCGTCGGGAGGGCGTCCTTGTACGGCACCAGAAGGACGCCACGACTCATCTGGTTAATGGGTAGGATATTGCAGAATCTTGGTTGCAGGCTCCCGCCGCGTTTCAGATGATGTTGAAAATATCGCCTACCTAGAAAGAGTTGACGTCGCAAGCTGGAAACACAGGCAGACGAGTTATAAGCGAATCTCCCTGTCAGAAAGAAACCATGGTTACTGAGAAGCTTGTTGCCCCGAATATTGAGCAGTCTGTCTTCGTCGCTACTCAGGGGATTTCCACCACTCTAGTCAATCGATTCCGCACCGACCACGAAATGAGCCACTGTCGGCAGATGTTGAAAAGAGTTTGGTGATAACCGTCCATTTTGCAAGCCAGACGACGCCAGGTTTTCCGATTGCTATCGATTGTGGAAGGAAGGCTGGCATATCAGGCCGTTTGGCAGAAGTCTATCACCTAGCCGGTGTTCATCAAGACTCATCCAAAAGCGAGGCGTTTGGCTTGAGCCTTCTCTTGCTTCACACGGCTTATACCTGTCCTCTACAACCGAGATGTTAAGTTCAGAGCCGTGACGCTGACGCACATGGCCCCCTGAAAGGATGAATGGTCTGCCAGGAAGTGCTGGGCCTTTGCGCCGCTGTCAGTGATTAGTACCCAAGCCTGTTCTATCAGTCTATCAGTCTCTAAGTCTGTCCGCCTTGATGTCTCAGTCGTAGATCCAATAATTCACAGTACGTCACTCCTCATCAATAGCCTGTCTTGCTCTAAAATCCATCACTAATCCCCTGGGACTTTTCATGCGCCAGTCTCTCGTCATTGATGCGATGCCACCACCTGTGCGTTTCGTCCTCAATGTCTTCAAGTTTCTCATCCCAGGGCTTTGGACTCAGGATGAAGTGGACATTCTTCACCTGATCGTCGCGCCATATGGCATCATGGACTCCTTTCCACCGCAACGTCTTCAGAGCGTTGTAGACATACGGCAAACCAACCCAGCGACCATAGAACTGGTCGCCAAGTAAGCTCTGGTCGGCAAAGTCATAGCTCGAGGTCAAGTCGCCATTTTTCATCGCGTTGAGGATTTTGTCATAAATGCCTTGGCTAGGATTGCACACAACTAGGCCGCCATTGGGGGACCCTATCCCCGCAGTGGGAGGGGGCCCATGAATCTGAGCATCGTCTGGTGTATTGTGTTGGGATGTGAACCCGCAGTTCTCTGGGATCCAATGCTTGGGATAGTGCGGTTTGTTTAGAGGATTACATGCACAAGCATGGCTTGCGGCGTATACCCTTTTTCCCTCGCCATTCATCCCAGGCGGATCCAGCTCCAGCTCCATCAGTTCATCCATATTCTTCAGGACCAGCATGTCACTGTCCAGTTGTACCAACCGATCATACTCGGTGAGGCTGAACGGGGTCAATTTGCTCCAGCAGTCGTAGAAACGGGGATCGTTGGCGTACTCTTTGGGGACGGACGGCAGGAGGTAAGGGATGTGTTTAGCCGGTATACCTCTCTTCTTGAGAGCTTGCAGGCCTTCGGGAGGAAATGTGTCAGTGTAGAGTGCGACCAGAGGATACTGCGAACCAGCTTTCTTCAAGGAGTACTCGAGAGTGAGGAGGCCCGAGAGGTACTTGGTGTTGGTAATGAGCGTGGTCCACACTTTCGTGGGTGCGCTTTCAACTGGGGATTTCTCCATAACAGCTGTGCCACCGGGTTCGCGAGGTGGCCTGCTAGATATAGAGTCCGACATCTAGGGATATCCAGATGGTAGCAACTGAGCAAGGAGCCCAGTCATGGCGAAGGAGATCCAACATGGTGGCGATCCGCTGGCACTAGAACCGCGGGTCAAGTAGGGACAGCGACAGGCAAGCTTTTGATTAAGCCCACACCAAATTATTTTGTTCACTGCTGGCCATCGGGTGGTACAGATCCACAGCTTCGGCTGCGAGTCGGAGAGGCTAAATCATCCCCGATCATCATCATCATCATCATCTCTACTCTATCTCTCTGGCCTTAAAAAGAATGTGACCGAGAACTACTCCTCGACTGTTCTGCCTGTTTGTGGGATCCAGGTAAGCGGATAGACTTCAATAATGACTGCGACAGCGCCTGCGGCTCTCTGAAGTCGATATTCGACCGAGACCGCATATTTTCATCATCATGTCAGAAAGTTTCAGCACGTAAGTATAGATGAACAGCATCATCGCCTCGTCATCATTCTTTACGCATGCTCACCGCGAGTCAGGCCTCAAAATGATCACAAGAGCACCGTCACCGACGTTTTGCGCCAACCCGAGCAGGCCCACCACGAGGAGTCGCGAACAAAGTCGCTCGCAAAGAACTACAAAGGCTTCGTCGCAGGGGTCTTCTCGGGCATAGCGAAGCTCTCTGTCGGCCACCCTTTCGACACAGTCAAGGTTCGATTGCAGACTTCGCAGAAGTCACAATTTAAGGGGCCGCTAGACTGTCTGTTACAGACCCTAAGAAGAGAGGGAATTGCAGGAATCTACAAGGGCGCAACTCCGCCACTGCTAGGATGGATGGCCATGGACTCTGTCATGTTGGGGAGCTTGACAGTTTACCGCAGGCTGTTGTTTGAAAACATATTTGCCAATCCTGCTTTCCGGCCCGGGAAGAGCGCCTCAGAGCTCTCACACGAGAAGTTGCCTGCTTTTGGACACGGGATCGCAGGAACCATGGCGGGCGCTACCGTTTCTTTTATCGCTGCGCCTGTTGAACATGTCAAGGCAAGGCTACAGATTCAATACGCCGCGAAGAAGAAGGACAGGATGTACAGCGGTCCCATAGACTGCACGAGAAAGATTCTCCGTTCCCACGGTATTGCTGGCCTCTATCACGGCCTGTTCTCAACATTAATCTTCCGCTCATTCTTCTTCTTTTGGTGGGGCAGCTACGATATCCTGACGACTTGGTTCAAGAAACACACTACTCTGTCCACTCCCGCAGTCAACTTCTGGGCCGGCGGGATGTCGGCACAGGTGTTCTGGCTGACGTCCTACCCTTCAGACGTGGTCAAACAACGAATCATGACAGATCCTTTGGGAGGTGCTCTCAATGACGGCACTCCTCGCTTCAAACACTGGAAGGATGCCGCTGTTACTGTATATAGAGAATCCGGATGGAGGGGTTACTGGAGGGGCTTTGTACCTTGCTTTCTCCGGGCATTTCCCGCGAATGCGATGGCGTTGGTAGCTTTCGAAGGTGTGATGAGGGCACTGCCTGATTGAAGCGCTCCTCCTTTAACACCCAGGAGGTTCTGTATGATAAGTTCAAACCCCTTATTCAAGCTGTATCATTCACTCCCAATTCTATCAGTCCCAGAGGCGACATTCGCTGTTGTCATGTACCTTCTGATATAAATTGTGTAAGGCACATGCTCTCGCCATCATCTCCTTTGTCCTCGGAGCCTTGCGCTAAGAATTCTTGGCACGACCCGACCTGGTCAATATAAAATCCTTCACATTGTCACGAACTCTGTTCCATGAGATGTTTGCGCGGATGCTGTTGCCACCATGGCTCCTCTAGTCATTAACGAGCCTCCTCAAGCAGTTCTGCACACGTTGGTCAATGCAGACGGGTCAGCAACATACAGCGCCCCAGGCGAGGGCTACAAAATTATCGCCGGCGTCAATTACCCGGTTGAAGTACCATACCGATCTGATGAAATTCCAGAGTCAACCTTGGTTGAAGTCAATCTCAGACCACACAATGGTGTCGGGATGGTCAAAGAACGACATGTCGAAGAGCTCATCAAACGGACGCTCCAAGCAATTGTACTTGTCCAGGAGACTCCACGGACCATGCTGCAGGTCACCCTTCAAGTCCTGTCTGTCGAAGGTGACGAGAGCCTACCTGGTGGAGTCAGAGGGGCAGGGCAAGGTGAGACTTATCTCGACTTGCTTGCTTCGGCACTGAATGCTGCCATCCTTGGGTGTCTAGACGCAGCTGTGCAGATGGAAACATTGGTGGCTGCCACTCTCATTGGCATCAACCGGGACAGTGAACAAATGATCATCAACCCAGGAGTCTTGCAGCGCAAGAAATGCGCTAGCTTGCATGCGTTTGCCTATAAGAAAGACGGCACGATGCTGTTGATGGAGAGTGAAGGCAAGTTCAGCATTGAAGGTTGGCAACAAGCAGCACACACTGCTCGCTTAGCAGTACTCGGTCACTCCTTTGTCGCCAATTCCATCGCCAACACCAGTGAGAGACAAGCCAACAAACAGTCGAACGGCGATGTTACCATGAATGGAACAGACGGTGCAACTGGGAACAACTCGGTTATCTGTGTGCTGGATGTGATCAGGAACGCTCTGGAAGCTCGAGTGATTAAGGATGAAAGCTGGCGACAGGATCGATGATGTTACAAGTTTTGCCAGTGTGTGAAGGCTGAAACCGTCACAAAGTGGGCGGCTGACTGACACCAAACAGTGGTGAGGTGAAGGAAGTGGGGATGGGAAACAGACTTATCGGTGTGCAACGGCCTGTTTATGGCAGCCTTCTAGGCTTGAATATTGGTTGTTCAGGGGCCGATAGTTGATACTTGGGTGCCCACTTTGGAGGATCTAGGGAGCCTAGGGAGCTCTACGAGATACGGGGGCGGTCGTGTGGTTGATCAAAGCCCACAGCAGATCCCCACGTGCCTGTCTCAGCACCAAGACACGCCCGGCTGGATCACCCCCAGCCCCAAAGGGATATTTTCATCTGGCATGTGCGATTGCTACAAATACTCAAGCACGGCATTGACTGAGGTGCAACCAACTACCTAAGGTCGATCAAGGAATTTCTTTTGCTTTGGCCTCGCCTCACGATCTCCTTTGCCTTTACGACCTTGCAGCACATTTGCATAATCAGTTGACCCCGGCTGGCCCAGAGACTTTGGTTCAATTCATTCACGTCATCACCTGCAGCAAAACGACATTGGAGAGCACAAAAAGCATTCAATCACCAGCTTCATCCGCTAACTCCGAGTCTCCGGATTACTTATTTGGTGATATCGTGTGTTACCTGACTATCTCGTCGTACCTGCACCCGAGAGCAGCTTTCAGGCAAGTCTCCTAGGCGTTCCATGCACTTCGGCGCTCTGACTATTCCGAAGATTGGCCCGCTTACGAGCGTGTTCGGATTTGCCTCTCGGCATCACGTCCCCATCACCATCACCACCCCAACCCTACTCCGGAGGTGACACAACCTCCAGATCGTCCACTGCTGGCCAGATCCACTACTCCCGCCCGGCTCGGTTTGTGCCTTCGTTTGCCCTGCAGGTCGTCTTTTTTCCAACATGACCGCCTGCTCCACCTTATGCTCGCCCACTACCTCCGAGGCCACTAGTATCAGCAACTCTTCTCCGCCAACTCCTGTCCTTGATAATCTTGACTTCCTGCTCTCTTGTGGTATGGCCTCTTCCACACCCAAAAGGTCGGTTGGAGAGTCTATTCTCCGCCAGTATGCCGAACATTTAGATCCCATTGACGCCGACGGCCAAACACATGCCGTGCGCAGTTTGGTCCACGCAGAGCCCGATCCCGTGAACGAGAGACCCGTCAGCAGCGACAACGCGTCCTCCAACGATCCTTCGAAAACCTCGTACATCGCCCATCACCCTACAGTCCCCGTGCCAAAGCCTCTGCTGCTGCCGAAGTCGCTGCTCACCCACCGCAAAAACCCAAAGTCAATAGACATACCCAGACAAACAATCATGAAGGCTCTGGTCTCACGGCGGCCTAGTGCGGGGCCTAATACGGCACCGTTGGCCACGAACGCCGTCAAGACGGCCATCACCGAGGCAGAATTGGAGCAACAGAGAAGCTGCTCCGGGTCACCATCATTGTCAGCCACCCTGGCTAGCCTTCAAGCCAGCGCGCTGTCAAACAACTCGCCCACATCGACGAGTTTTCTTCGGTCGCCATGTTTCTTCCACCAGCGATTTGACGGGGTTGTGGACATCCAAAAGGTTCTGGAAGAGATCGCGGACGATGACTACTCGCATTCGCGACTGATGCAAACTGCCACAGGCGTAAGAGAGGTCTCCAAACAGTTGCAGCGCAAACCCCTGAAACGCGCTGTGCGCAATGTCATGATTGTGACAAAGGCTCGAGACAACAGCCTCGTCTACCTGACACGTGAGCTTGCTGAATGGCTGCTCTCCACGCCTCGGTATGGGAGCGAGCTGGGCGTGAACGTCTATGTGGATGCCAAGCTCCGACATTCGAAACGATTTGACGCCGCTGGTTTGCTGGCGAAGGAACCTCGGTTCAGCAAGATGTTGAAGTATTGGACTCCGGATTTGTGCTGGTCATCACCGGAAAAGTTCGACCTGGTCCTCACCATGGGAGGTGACGGAACTGTATTGTTCACCTCATGGCTATTCCAGCGGGTAGTCCCTCCTGTGCTCTCCTTTTCACTGGGAAGCTTGGGGTTCTTGACAAATTTTGAGTTCGACAAATACAAAGAGCACCTTGATCGGGTTATGGGCGACGCCGGAATGCGAGTCAACCTCCGTATGCGATTTACCTGCACTGTCTGGAGAGCCGATCGGTCTCCCGGCGCTGTGAAGGGCGCTGTCGAAGAAGGCGAGCAGTTTGAAGTTTTGAACGAGCTTGTGATTGATCGCGGGCCTTCTGCTTATGTGTCCAATCTAGAGCTCTACGGTGACGACGAGCTTCTGACAATTGTGCAAGCAGATGGTTGTATCTTCTCCACGCCGACGGGTTCCACAGCTTACTCCTTGTCTGCTGGAGGGTCTCTGATTCATCCATCCATTCCTGCCATCTTGTTGACACCTATATGTCCGCACACCCTTTCGTTCCGGCCGATGGTGCTGTCGGACACTCTTGCGCTGCGAATTGCTGTACCTCACAAATCCCGGTCGTCGGCTTATTGCTCTTTTGACGGGAAGGGACGAATTGAGTTGAAACAAGGGGATTATGTGACCCTGGAAGCGTCGCAGTATCCGTTCCCAACTGTCATGACCGGCACGAATGAATGGGTGGAAAGTGTACAAAGGGCTTTGAGATGGAATGTCAGAGGCGCAGTTCAGAAAGGCTGGGACGATGGAGACCATGAAGACAGCGACCATGCTGAGGAGAAATGGGACATAGACATTGACTCGAGCCCCCTTGGAGGGACAGACAGCGGTATTGGGCCCAGCGAGGATGGCGACCACGCTGCAAGCCCGATGAGGCGGCAGCTGAGCATGTTGAATATGTGAGGAGGGTTTGTTCAAAGATGATACTCCATACCCAGGGAATGGGTTCTGTCACAACGACGTGAAGATTTGTCACGACGGGGATTTTTCAATAAGACGATGACGCTGCACCGGGCTTGATCCGGTAAGATCGATACGCTTTTGCTTCAGCCTTGTCCATACAACATGCTTCCAATACGCTCCATACCTTCTACAGCGACCAGACAAGACCATATTCCACCCAATGCCTCACAATCTCAGCTGTCTCGCCTTGGCAGCTCTCACTAATGTCTGCACAGTTAGTCGCCTAGCGTCTTTTTTGGTGCTATAGAGGGTGCGACAGAAAGATGGTTGAAAAAAAACAACAACAAAACCTGTCGACACTTTCTCCCTCTCACTTCCCCTCGTTCTTTCTTTCACCATCGTCATTTCAACTCGTCGCGCTTCATCAAGTTCGTCGATGCAGCACTTCTAAACTTACAATACCGTCGCTCGACCAACTCAAACAGACCCTAACAGTACCCCAACAACTTCTCCGATTACGTCGTCGTCAGCGCCGGTCAAAATGACTTCTTCAGACAAATCCGCAGGTAAGTTCACACTCACACGATCTTCTCGTCAACTTCTATCTTGCAATGTTGCCTTACAATAAATATATATAGGCTCAACACCTAATTCTCCTCCATCTTCCTCTGAACGGCGACATCGTCGTCAGAGCGTTGGATTTCTCTTACCTGGTGACGCTGGCCTGAGCTCTGGTTTGTCCAGCTCATCTTCTGGTGCAGAAGTTGATGTTCTTGCAACTGAACCTGTCAACACCACCACACCTACTCCAACATCTCTCACCGAAACGTCACCTGGTCTTCGTCGAGTTCATGGAACCACAAACTTGAATTCACTAGTCAACTATCCACAGACCACAGACTCTCCTGAGAGTGAACCCAACCTTGCAACCACAACATCAGAGGACGACTCGCTTGAATCTGATCACCAAGTCACTGATCCAGTCAACAACCAGGCTGCTACTGCAGCAACAATCTGGACTGATGAACCTGGGTGGAGTTTTGCCCACATTCACGGTGTGACAGCAAACTCAGCACAAGATCAGCCAAATCCTCTAGCAATCCCAGCAAATACGCCAGTCACTGGCACCGTACTTGTCTGGTCTGATGAGCTAGGTTGGGGTTTTGGAAACATTGCAGGTCTGGCAGAAAATCTTAGACGCGGCCTTCCAAATTCGCTCACATTTCGACCTGCGCCAAATTCATCCACCACCCAGACTCTTCCAACACCACTGTCACAAGTTGACCAGGACTCATCCATTGCGCGAGATCTTCCATCATCTTCATCATCATCGTCATCGTCATCATCACAGGCCCAAGTTGGTCTGAACTCATCCTCTGCACAAGATCTTACAACTCCACAGTCACAAGTTGATCAGGACTCTACCACCACCACCCATACTCTTCCAACGTCACAGACTCAAGTTCATCAGGGCACACACATTACTCAAGATCTCCCAGCGTCACAGTCTCAAGTTGACCAAGACTCAGCCACCACTCAGACTCTACAAACGTCACAGTCTCAAGCTCATCTGAGCTCATCCTCTACTCAAGATCTCTCAAACTCGTCCGGTGCAGAAGAGGCCGACAACGACGACGACGACTACGCCTCAGAGGAGGCTGAAGAGGACGGGGAATGGCAGGCCCCTGAAGACATGTGGTCTTCAGATGGCGAAGAAGAAGAGGAGGAGGAGGAGGAGGAGGTGCGCGTCAACCTGGACGAGGTTGACGCCCCGGTTGCGGAACAACTCCGCGCCGGGCTCGCTCACTTAAGCGAGGCCCGTGTCCAGATCGACGTCCTCGACGGCGATCTCCCAGTTGGTGCCGTCAGGGGCAACCCAGCGGCCGTCCGCGCCCGCGCGGGTCTCCTCTCTGCTGAGGGCGAGATCCTGGGTGCGGTCGGTCAGCTGTGGACGACCCTGGCAGAGGCGCGGGAGGTCGCCGTCGACGCTGAGGAGGGGTTTCGACAGCTCCAAGACGAGGTCCGCCGCCTCACAGCTGAGTACCTCGCTGCTCAGATCGATGCCGCTCTTGCAAGGGAGCGTGCGGACTCTAGCGAGGCTCTCCTTGAGAGAGCTGAGTTAGAGATCGCCGCTCTTCGCGAGCAGCTTCGAGACGAGCAGCATTGAGACAGTTGTGTGTGCGGTGGCCTCGCTCTTGTGAGTGTGTCTCGGTGGGTGTCCTGGTGGTGGGGGAAGGGGGGGACGAGGGAGGGAAGGGGAGGAACGGAGGCATGGGGGAGCAGGGGGTGGTGGCGGTGGTGTTTGCTGGGGTTTGCCGGTGCCCCTCGGGGCTTAAGAAACGAGAACAAGTGTTGTTTGTTTTTCTTTTTTGAGCACTCCTGTGCTCATGTGCCCTTCGGGGCTGACCAAATCCCAAAAAAATGTCGAGTACAAAAATCTCTCCGTTTCATCTTCTGAGTGATCGTCTTCGTCAGTTGTTGGATTCATTATCCGCCAGGTATCTAAACCCTCAGGACCGATTGAAGTGCCCCGGAGCGATCCGCCACTAACTGGCAGGATATAGAACGTCACTGAAAACCAATTCTACATCGTCACAGTGCATCGATGGCTGTTACGGAGTGACCGGAGCTCCTCCAGCGCCACCGTCTCGGATACATCATGAGCAAGGAAGGGGAAATCACGAAATAAAGAAGGATGGGATCCTGGATGAAGCGCCCTACGGCTACATCGGAGGGTTGGCAAGACTGAGGCAGCATTATGGAGGACGTGTGATGGTGTCAATGCGAGAAGAGAGAGAACCGAAGGCGTGACTCCATATGCCATCTCAGCAAAAGCAGACCGAGAGTCCTCGGCATCATGAGCAAAATTAGGGAGTCTAACTACCCAAATTCGAAGCATGCAGGGGCATGTAGTCTGACAGTCTATACCTTGTATACCATGCAGGATTATCAGGGAATATTATACGAGTGGTGCCGGCAAAGCATGGCTAGTGATGCGCGGACCAGGTGATTGGTTGCTCGGCGAGGCTGCCAAGGGAACTTATCACTTAGAATTTCATCTCCTCCCGCCACCTGAGGGAATGAACGAACCAAGAACACTACAATAACATCACTTGAACATCAGCCAAATTTGTATCATAGCACGTATCAAAATGGCCGAGGGTATCGACAGAAATGCAGACGGTGAGTGCGACGTCTCTTGTCGAACAGTGCGATTAGGCTGGCGACTGACATGGGAAAACCAGAGCGCATGGAGTTCTCAACTTCGAAAGAAGTGACAGTCGCCCCAACCTTTGAGGACATGCACCTCAAGGAAAACCTCCTCCGTGGAATTTATGCGTACGGCTATGAATCGCCCTCAGCAGTTCAATCTCGAGCGATCGTGCAGATCTGCAAAGGAAGAGACACCATTGCGCAGGCGCAGTCAGGCACAGGCAAAACCGCGACCTTTGCCATCAGCATTCTTCAAATCATCGAGACCTCCGTCCGTGAGACACAAGGTATGAATGGGAACCCGGGCATACACGACGTGGCTAACAAAATCTCAGCTCTAGTCTTGTCCCCGACCCGCGAACTGGCGACCCAGATCCAAAGCGTCATTATGGCCCTCGGAGACTACATGAATGTACAATGTCACGCCTGTATCGGAGGCACAAACGTGGGCGAAGACATTAGAAAACTGGATTATGGACAACATGTGGTATCGGGTACGCCTGGGCGAGTGGCAGACATGATTCGACGAAGGAATCTCCGTACGCGACACATCAAGATGCTGGTCCTGGATGAAGCAGATGAACTGCTCAATCGCGGTTTCAGAGAACAGATCTACGACGTCTACCGATATCTTCCTCCTGCCACGCAAGTTGTGGTCGTCTCTGCGACCCTTCCCTACGATGTTTTGGACATGACAACGAAATTCATGACCGATCCCGTCCGCATCCTGGTTAAACGTGATGAGCTTACGCTCGAAGGCCTCAAGCAATATTTCATTGCTGTGGAGAAAGAGGAATGGAAATTTGACACACTGTGCGACCTCTACGACACGCTTACCATCACACAGGCAGTGATTTTCTGCAACACTCGCCGCAAGGTCGACTGGCTTACCGACAAGATGCGCGAGGCAAACTTCACCGTCAGCAGCATGCACGGCGAGATGCCACAAAAGGAACGTGACAGCATCATGTCCGACTTTAGACAGGGCAACAGTCGAGTCCTCATCAGTACCGACGTCTGGGCTCGTGGGATCGACGTCCAGCAAGTCAGTCTTGTCATCAACTACGACCTGCCCAGCAATCGTGAGAATTACATCCACAGAATCGGGCGTAGCGGGAGATTCGGTCGCAAGGGCGTGGCGATCAACTTCGTCACTAGTGAAGACGTCCGCATTCTGCGGGATATCGAGCTTTACTATTCCACGCAGATTGATGAGATGCCCATGAACGTTGCCGATTTGTTGACTTAAGGAGCGCTTATTACTTGAGCTAGCTTGTCACGGATCCAAGAACCATCAAAACTGGATTGGCCCTGTGGAGGCGTGCGTCTCTTATCAGCTGAATCTCACGTTGCGACGACACGGTTCTCACTGCAACACCTAATCCCACATTCTCGGAAATCCAACCAACCCATAGGCTTTCTAGCTCGTCATATTCCAGCAAAATCTTTTCGGTTTGGAAGTGGTCTCACCAATTTGCGGGAATTGTACTATCGAGGAGACACTCCCTTGGAGTTGGAATACAGTTCAACATACGAGAGCAGTGTTGTCAAGGCCTTAGAGCCAAAGTCCGGTCAACCGAGCTGCGATTGGAGCTTCTACAGAAGCGAACAGTCGAGAGGCGATGTGGCCACTTTTCAGGTTCTTCTACTTCCGGTATCAGGTACATCGAGGATGGAAATGGGCTGAAGCCAAAAAGGTATGATGTTCCCTCCCCTGTTGTTTGCGGAATATCGGCTAAGACCATTGCAGAATGTTTAATATCTTTACCAACGAAACCACCCTGTAACATCTCAGTCGGTCGTCATGTCTATTATCGAATGCGTTGAGACCTTGCAGGTACTTCCCATTCCTTTTTTTCACTAACCTTCGTTTTCGAACGCTGAAAACACATCCCGTTTGGCCTCTTGATACTCCCTCAGGATAGTCTCCCGTCTTGCCTCAGATCTCACCTTAACCTCCAGAGTGTAGGGCTTTGCACACACCAAGAAACCCTCACTATATCCCGTAGTCGGATCGGTGTCCGGCATGATCGGTTTTCCATCGTTGTCTTTTCCAGGCGCAAATTCAAAAGCCCACAGCAGCTTTGCAATGGCAAGGAACAAATTCCTCTCCGCGAGATGAATGCCGGGACAAAGTCGTCTGCCGGAGCCATAGCCATAATGGTCCCTGTCGTCAGGGTTGGAGGCTTGGGCGAGTTCCGAAGCAAGTGCCGTGACGCCCTTGTAATGATCTGGATCGAATTTGTCCGGGTTTGAGAATCTCTTCTCGTCGTGGTGCATACCCCATGCATTGATGAAGATCACAGAGCCCTTTGGGATTTTGTACCCATCGACCCAGTCGTCTAAAGCACCGAATGGGTTAGTCATTGATGATCTTCCCTGTTCACAGCGAACCTCATACCTTCGTCCACAGCATGTGGAAATGCCAACGGAACCACCGGCCTGGACTTGTCGTTAGCACCAACCAGCTATGTCAGGGTAAGGAACCTTGAACGCCACAATCCAGGCGCTTGCGAGGCAATCTCACCTCCATCTCATCGCTTCTTTCACGGTTGCAGCTACATACGGTAGCTCTGCATAGTCAGCCCACACAGGAGATCGATCTTCGCCCATGACACTGTCAATTTCATGCTGCGCTTTCCTCATGACCTCAGGCCACTTGGTGAAGGCCTGTATGGCCGCGATGACGATGCTTGAAGAGGTATCACTTGCGCCCTCCATCATTGTGCCGCCCAGGAAATAGAGCTGATGTCGGTTCAGTTCAAGCTTTTCTTTCTGGTCAAGGACTCTGTCCATGAATGAATACTTGCTGCCCACAGCTTCTCTGCGCTTTTCGAGCCCGGTCAACATATCATTATACAGATTGTTCATTGCCTTTCCAACGTCTTTGGCTCGCGAGCGCCAGTTCCCAAAAAGCTGTTCGGGGACGTAGTGTAGAAAAGGGAAGATATCGACGGGAGGGGTGTTGCCCGGTTCCATGACCACGGACCAATTCTCCATGAGTTCGTAGAGGCGTTTCATGTGTGGAGTGTCCACTGTGGGAGATCTCACGCCCCAGATGGTGGCGCATGCGATGCTGTTGGTATACCGCTTCGGATGGTCCATGTGCTGATCCGGTCGCTCGAGGAAATCTTTCAACAACTGACTTGCTTCGGCTTGCTGCAAGGGTAAATGGTCCCTCATCACGATAGACTCCATGAAGTGCTGATGGATCGCTTTTCTGTATTTTTGCCATGTTTTGCCGTAGTGTGCAATCAGGACATGGTCGCCGCCTGTAATGAGATTGTGCGAAACATAGCTGTGGGGCCGGTCGCTGTAGATGTTGGATTTCTTGTCAATCAGCTGCTTCACCAGGTGGCGAGAAGTGAGGACAATGGCGGTTCCAGGGCCGAGCTTGAGGGAGAAGATGCCGCCATATTTCTGTGCAAGTTTGTCAGTATTTTAGTCTCCAGTAGGGCACATCTGAGAGCGGTGAGCGTGTACATACCTTGGACCATTCAGTGAACGTCAGGTAAGAACCCTTGGTAGGGATCTGATGAATGTTTCCAATGATCGGGGCAGTGGGCGGACCTATTCCATGATGGCACATTGATGAGTACACACCACCCGCAGCAACTCGGCGTCACGATGCATATCCACATACCAGGTGGCAGACCCTTTTCGCGGCGTCCGATGAAGAGAAATGCGTAGAGTAGCAGGGCAACGAGCAGGCCGCCAAGCGCTGGCAGGATGGTTCCCAGTGCCATGGATTGTATGAGCGCGAGAAGAGGACGGGGCTTGGAGGTAGAGCAGAATATCAGTTCAAGGTCTTTGAGGACGATTGCCTTCTCGGTCAGAAGAGCAAGATGGCTGTTGCCTCGATGCACGGATGATCTTGGAAAGAGCAGTTGGGAGAGAAAAAGATGAGAGGCGAGACCGACTTGATATATATGGGCAAGCAGGCAGATCTGATGACTGACTCCAGTGAAACATGAGGCGCTTTTGGTGTTGTCGATAGCCAAGGCTGGGGTAAGTCCACTTGTTACCAACTTCGCCAACTCCCCCACAATCTCATCTCAACCACTTCCCCCAATGATATCAGGTCCCACGATCAAGGTTCATGCCTAGACCCTCGCTCTGGGCGGCTATACCCCAAGGCCGCCCTATCCATTCTGTCTTAGCTCTATAATTCACGTCGGATTTACCCCCCACACGGATACTGACCATGAACATGTAGCGGGGTAGGTGCATAAGCCTCTTCCTCTAGCCCTTAAAAGTCCAAGAATGCACTGAACTATCCAGGTGGGAAGCAAGAGACCTGAGTTACTTGGATTCATTGCCTATCACGCTGTTCAGCAGCGCAAGGCTGAGAGCCAGCCTGGTGATGCGGAGAATCATCTCCGAGATGCTGACAGACCTCGGCTGGGAATCCCCTCATTCAGCTTCTCATAAGAAGTTTAAAGAGATTTCCTCTGCTCTCGATCCTTTGTATCGTTCAAAGGCAGAAAAGGGAACTGCCAGATTCTCACCTCCAACCCTCTCGTGAAAACACCAAGTCCGAACTGTTCCATCCCAGCCACAATGGCCCAGCTCCAAGGAAAAGTCATCGCAATTACCGGTGCAGCATCGGGTATCGGGGCAGCCACGGCCCTCGAATGTGCCGCGAGAGGCGCTGCTGGACTGTCGCTATGTGATGTCAACGAGGATGCCTTGAAAAAGGTGGTGGACCAGATACAGGCCAAAGGGGTCAAGGTAACAGGAAAACGAGTCGACGTCTCCAGTTCGGAACAGGTTGATGCATGGATTGCCGAAACAGTCAAGGAGTTTGGCCGTCTGGATGGCGCCGCCAACATCGCGGGCGTCGAGACAAAGCCGGGCGGCAAGGTCTTTTCCAACATTGTCGATATCAGCAACGACCACTGGGACTTTATCATGAAGATCAACCTCACGGGTCTCTTTTACTGCCTTCGCGCGGAACTCCGTGCTATGGACCGGGGTGCCTCGATCCTCAACGTTGCGAGTATGGCTGGCGTCATCGGTCGTCCTGGCATTGCCGCCTACTCGACCAGCAAGCACGGTGTCGTTGGTTTGACGAGAACTGCAGCCAAGGAAGTCGGCGAGCGCGGCATTCGAGTCAACGCTCTTGCTCCGTAAGTAACGTTATGTGGCCCTCGTAGACTTCTGTCATGTCCGACTTCCCAGGCTAACAGTGTTCTTTCCAAAGTGGCCCTATAGAGACGCCCATGCTGGACAGGCTGCTATCCGATGGTGGCACCTCAGAGCGACCCGTCACAAATACCTACAAGACCCTGCCTCTCCAGCGACTCGGAACAGCACAAGACATGGCAAAGACGATTTGTTTTGTTCTGAGCGACGATTCAAGCTTTACTACAGGAGCTGTGTTCTCTGCAGACGGCGGTGTTGCCTGCTAGATAGAAATAATTCCTGACTCTGGCACCTTTCGGGCGTGTCGCCAGTCATCAACCGGTATTTGTCTTTCTATCCTGGCGTAATACTGACTTCTATCCCTGCACCTCGAGAAGCGCTCCCCCATTTGCGGGCACGTTGTTCCCATTGATCCACCTGCTCTCCTCGCTAGCGAGAAACCCAACAATCCCAGCGATGTCGTCCACCTCCCCCATCCTCTTTTCCGCCGTGTTCCTGCTCGCCAGGCTCGGGATGTAGCCATCCGGGAGTATCCCCTGTTCCAAAGGGATTCTTAGCAAATCCGTCATGACCGGCCCCACCGACACCGAGTTGATGGTGATGCCGTGCTGAGCCGAGTACATCAGGGCGAGGCTCCGGGTGAAGCTGTCCAGGGCGGCCTTGGACGCACCATAACAAACCGCAGGGTCTGCATTCGGCGACTTGGAGGCGGTGCTGCCGATCATAATGACGCGGCCGCCTCGAGAAATGACGGGCAAGGCCGTGAGGAACAGCTGGACGGGAGCCCACGCGTTGCCCGTCATGAGATTGTCGAACAGCTCCTTGGTCGCCGTGGCGATGGGGGCCACAATCTTGGGGTTGACATATGCTGCGTTACACACGATGATGTCGAGGGTTTGGGTAGAGAGGTTCTCCAACACCTGAGGTACCAGGTCGGAGGCAAATGTCGGCGACAGGACATCCGCTCGGATCGCCCTGGCGATAATACTCGGGTCGACTTTGCCAATCGCCGCGAGGGTCTCCTCCGCGGCCGATGGGTTCTCAGCATAAGTGATGGCAATCTTTGAAATGCCCTTTTTCGCGAAATGGATCGCGATGCCACGGCCGATGCCTCGTGAGCCGCCCGTAACCAAGGCCACTTTTCCGACCAGAGGAGCAGGAATTGTAGTCGTCGACATTTTTGGAGGTGGACGGGTGCTTAAGCGGACTGTCTCTGGACTCGTCGTGTTGACACAAAGTAAAAGCGCTGATGCCAGCTCAAACTGGTCGTTTCCTATCATCCATAGTCGGGAGTCCGGCCATGATAAGGGACTGGCGCTTTATACTGGAGACGCGACTGAGAATTCTTTTCCATGCCTTTTGTCCCGGTTCACAATGGAGCCCCAATTGGCCAGGGGAAAAATCCGGTGTCCGTTCTGGTTTCCAAAGTAGAACTGGCACATGTAAGACGCTTGCGGTGTGTTAAGGAAAGAAGATGCAAGATTCTGTATTCGAATCTAAAGTGGGTAGAGAGAACGTGGGCGAGAGCAATGACCCGGGGATACCAATCGCATGGTGTTTGCCAAAGGGCGCTGGCAACTATCAACTAGCCATACACACTGGATAAGACGGAGAGTAAGCCAACCAGAGGAGCTAGAAGTCCATCCCATCTTGGTTGACCCCGGAGCCCGTTCTTTGTGGTTAATAATCACCAGCAAGGAGACACGGATCAATGTCTTTCTGAGGCGGGCTCAGAGATTGATATTGTGCATGACGTGGTGCACTGGTGGTGGTCGCCTGAAGAAAGTGATGGAAGAAAGACGAGCCTCATGCAGGAAGACACGAGTACTTTGAATTACCCAATTCGGCAGTACAATACCACTTACACCATGCTGAGCCTCGAACCCCTCTAACGCCACCGGTCTTTTGCGGCATTCACACTACCAGCGAGAGGCCCGTAAATATCGTCTCCCCTACTGCAACTTTTGGTTTCCACCTGGAGATACGCCGGCGCGGACTTGGCTGCGGGAATTTGTCCCTCTTTCTCAGAGATGACAACAGAGGAAGGTGACTTTATCAGTATGCAACGAAAGAAAGGGCGTGGCTCAATGTGGAAGATCTAGGCTATACGCGCAGTATATGCTTATCACCAATCTCAACGTCCGCCTGGTTCAGTGTATGGGCTGGGTGGACGTCAGATGGCACCTGAAGGGCACAAGGCTGGCTATTTCCTTGGACGTGTGCGTACTTAGCACTGTCCCAGAAGGGATGATATCGGGATGATATCGGGAAGATATCGATTGCAACTTCTCCACTTCTGTGGACCACATGCCAAGTGGGATGAGGGGTCGAGCAGCCCCCGAGGGTTGTTCAATTGGGCTATAAGAGATACGGCACAATCACATCCAAACATATCTAGACAACCCAGACACAGCTGTTGCGCCGAATCCTTCATCTTTCAGATCAGCCATTCCACGGTGATATCATCGATATCGTCAGCAACATGAACCGCGTTTGCACTCGTGCTCTCCTCCACAAGACCCCCACCACGGCATTCGTTCGTGTACCAGCCCGTCGATGCTACCACCCAGAGCCACGATCGCTTCAGAATAGCGCCCACCGTACGCATCGATTTATCTATCGGTGGACCATTCAAGCAATCGGCACTCCCTTCGCTGTGGCTTACCTCTGTGAGAGGCTCTCGGAGCGGAGTGATGGTGAGAGCAGCTTCAAGCTTGGACTGCCCGAGATCGATGCGGGATTTTTGACCGAACCGATTCGGATGAAGAGCCAGACCTGGGGACATATGCGAGTGAACTGAAAGCTGTACTGTGGCTATCTTGTTGGTGTATACAATGGAAGAGAGGACGCTGACCTGCTTGGGGCTCTGCCTTCTGGGCTGATGGACGCTGTATATTAGGGATCTTGCCTGTGCGTTGAGATGACACGGGCAGCGCTGCAGTCTTGACGGATAGTTGCAAAGCTGCGACACTAGAGTAAGAATTATTTGCCTTCCAATCGCTACAAAGCTACGTGTTCTCTGATGGGTTCGGCTCAGTCACGACTGTTCGCGTCCTTGTTACGCTCCGACCGGGCTATCGTATCGTCATGTGCCATGGCTTCGGCGCCGTCAAAGAGATAGGCGCCGACACCTTCGCTGAGGAATTTACCACGAGCATTCCGGTCTGCGCACTGGTCTATGACAATCGCAGTCTCGGCACGAGCGACGGCCTGCATAGACAGGCGGTGATCCCGGCCTTGCAGTGCTCCGATCACAGCGACGCAACCACCCACGCACAACTCGGACCCGAGGTCGATCCACAACGAGTCGCCGTCTGGGGCACAAGCTACAACGGAGCCTATGCGCTTTCAATTACCGCCGTGGATCTTCGAGTCAAAGCCATCGTTAGCCAAGGAGGTGTCACCCCTGCTTTACCACAGGCGTAAAACACACGTGCATCGTTGTGTCTCTCCCACAATTGACAGATGGCCATAAACAGGTCATGGTTGCAGACGGACGGGAAAAATTCCATCGCCTCGTGAGGAACGGCTCGGTCAAGCACATTTACATGTTCCCTAGCGGGCACCATTCGGGATACTTTGGTGAAGCCTTCAAAAAGAGCACGTGTGTACACCGCGGAAGACGGATAGTCGCACCAAATCATTGGATTCTGCAGTCTCAAACGATGCATCCCATACTCTCATGTGAACGACATTACTTCCTGTATTGACAATCCCGACTGATTCACACCCTGCTAGCCATGCGTCCTTCACTTACTTCCTCACCAATTCATCAGACCCTCCAAGGTAGCCTACCTAGTAGCTAGCTAGAGAGTCTTCTTCAAAAAGTCCAACACAATGCCCAACATCTGCGCCAGGTTAGTTTCGAGCAGGAAATGGCCTGCATCCAGTAAAACGACGTCGGCGTCGGGCAGGTCCTTCTTGAAGGCCTGGGCCCCAGGGGGAACGAAGACGATATCGTTCTTACCCCACGCTGCCAGCAGCTTCGGCTGCTTCTGGCGGAAATACGCCTGGAACTGTGGGTACAGAGGCACGTTGGAGCCGTAGTCGGCGAGCAGGTCGATCTGGATGTCCCGGTTTCCGACTTGCTCGTCCATCAGGGAGAAGTCCAGCCAGTATGACTCGGGCTCGATGCTTTCCGGGTGGGCGCTCCCGATGGTGTACTGCGACTTGAACCCCGCCAGGGTCAATGCGGTGTCGTTGATCGGGGTCGCTGCAGCCTGGAATTGTGCGGGCGTGGTCGCGTTCCAGAGGGCAAAGATCGGAGGCCAAAAGGTGGCTCCAAACCCTTCGATATAGGCGTTGGCATTCTGCGAGATGAAGGCCAGGATGGACTGAGGCCGCTGCAGGGCGAGTCGGAAGCCGATCGGTCCCCCATAGTCGTGCATGTAGGGAACAAAGGTCGTGATGTTCTTTGCGTCAAGAAACGAAGCGACGGTCTGGGTTAGAGTCTCGAAATTGTATGTGAAGTTCAACGAGTCGGGCACCACCGTGAAGCCGAAGCCAGGGTAGTCGGGGGCGATGACGTGATAGTTGTGTGCAGCCAGGATCGGGATGAAGTTTCGAAACTGGTGAGACGACGAAGGGAAGCCGTGTAGGAGCAGGAGGGTCGTGGCGTTGGGAGGGCCAGCTTCTCGATAGAACATCTGGATGCCATTGGGGAGAGTGACATTGCTCACGGTATATGGTAGCCCTAGGGGAGCTTGCTGGCCAAGTGTGAGGAGGGGGAAAACCCAAAGAAGGTGGGAGAGCTTCGCAACCGTGTGTTTGAACATGATGGACAAGCTCCTCGATACTTCTTGTCCTGCAGAAAAATGGAGCGTGTGGCTGGAAGTCACGCCCTGAGGGGTACTGCTGAGGCTTCCATCTCTACATCTGGTGACGAGGAGGGCATCGCTTATATAGTACACTGTCCGATGATGAGTATTGCACCTTTGATCACGAACATGCGGTCAAGGGCTAGAGGCATGTACGTGACCTCTTCGACAAGGTCGAATGTGGCAGGTCATGAACACGAATGAGGCCATGTCCTATGTCATCAAACAGCCACTAGAGCCGTACCTTGCAGAGAGCAGCAATCCAGCATGCCGGTAAATCACGTCGTCCCATACACGAGTTGTCCAATTCGACCTGCGGTGAGTTGTTATTGGCGGGCTGACAGTGGAATTTCCCAAAGTGGAAGGTTTCCTACTCTCCATGTGGATCGGGGCTCCGACGAAGCCCCTCACACCCCTGAAACGGAAGCCTTGTGTGCTGACTAAAAGCAGCATTAACCTCCTTGGAATTGATATGGAACCAGCAGCATGCGGTCACTTGGACAGACCACTGGGATGGAAAAAATGTCGATCTCAATTGAGAGAGGCAGACTTACAACAAACTGGTGAAGCACAGGAATCGAAGGCTCTAAGAGATGGTTGGCAGAACAGGACACAACTGTGTGACGAAGTATCATAATGAAAGTGTTGCTCGAACTTTCACAAGGACATAAGAAGTCGGCTTCAGAAACAACGGAAACTCTATCTCATGTCATCGATGCTATTTATCCACTTGCTGACACACCGAGTGCAATGCAGGAAACGACAATTCAGCTAACCCCAAAATCGCAGCTCCAAATCGTCATTCCGCAAAGACCCCCTTGGTGTTACAGCGGCCATGCGAGCATGGGACCTGGAGAACAGCGTAGCTGGGCATTAAGAGACATGATGCGGGTGCTGAAAACTGAGGAACTGGTGCCATGAGAAACTGTTGTTCCAAAAACGGACATTCACGTGACCCAGCCTTGTTAAGCAACGGAGAATTGGTGTGCATCACTAAAATTCACCATCTCTTTGCGCCGGGATGGGTGGTCGGCTCAACACTGTGCCAGGTCTGTCCCATTTCGCACACCAAGTGGCTGGTGCGGCTAGCCCACAGCCTATACCCGAGCACGCCGAGGCAAAGCACCCAACGCGTCTCAGCTCCGAGATGCGGGGAAAGGTACAAGAGCAGCTTTCCATCATGAGATATCCTACCCAAAGAAAGTGGATGTTGTCGTGATATCAGATCGGGCGTAGACATCACCACCAAAATACTCGAGCATGGCCACAGAAGCTTTCACGGTGTCGCGTGACAAATTGACGGGACCAAAAGGTGTCACAGTGCTGATAACCGGGGGTTCATCGGGCATTGGGCTGCAAACAGCGATTATCCTCCACGAACTCGGCAATAATGTCATCGTCGTCGACAGAGCTCGACCTCACCCAACTGCTCCCAAGGACTTGATTTCATCGCCTCGCTTTCTGTACCAACAATGCGACATTACATCATGGAAACAGCAGAGGGCTGCTTTCGAAGCTGGCTTCAAGAAGTTCGGATCCATTGACTGCGTGTTCGTCAACGCGGGGATAGCAGAATACAAGGATCAATTCTTCAAGGATGAGCTGGATTCAGACGGGCTACTCAAGGAGCCGGATAGGAGAACCGTCGATATTTGCATGCACGCGGCCAATGACACGGCGAAACTGGCCATCCACTACATTAGGAAGAAGGGACCCAACCAGAAGAGAGGCGGGAGCATTGTCATGACGGCGAGTCTGGCGGGATACCTAGCCAGTGCTGGGGCACCGCTGTACAGTGCCGCGAAACATGGTTGGTCCTTGGGCGTGAGACTTTGTTCTGTCGCGTGGCTAACATTCTGGACAGGTATTGTGGGCTTGATGAGGGCACTGAAGAACGACACCGCGACACTGGGCATTGCAGTCTCGGTGGTTGCGCCGGGCATCACTTTGACCGATATCATCTCGGGCCGCAGTCCTGGAGAATCTCTGAGTGACTGGGCCAAAAGAATGAGAGGGGTCGGCGTCCCTATCAACGATCCACAAGAGGTGGCATGCTGTGTGGTGTACTTGATGAGCTTGGGAATGGAGGCCAACGGCAAAGGGATGTTGGTTCAAGCCGGACGGGTTGCGGATCTGGAGAAGGGGATCGCTTCGTCAAGGAAGATCTGGATGGGAGAAGAGATGTTGAATCTCTTCCGAGGGGGAAGGAATGCGCCATTGTTTCCCAATAAGCTGTGAGTGTCGGATAGCAGTGAGGATAACGCAGGATTATCTGAGCACCTATCTACCAAGTCAAGATCTGAGGAACCATACGAGGGCATAGGCATCGAGTACGAGCTACCGAGCACTACTGATTGTACCCAGCGAGCCAGTATCTACGAGTGTAACAGCGGATACTGAGACAAGTAAGATTGTGTGTGGCTGATTTCCCTCGGCCCAAGCTCTACCAAGTAAATTATTCCTGGTGGCATTGATCGACGCTGCAACGACGGGCTGTTCCTGATGTGCGCCACCAGCCACCATCACCAAGCCATCGAATTTCGCTTCCCGCCTCTGCCCGCCTTTGACCCTTACTATGATTCAAGTTGTTCGCAATCATGAGCTGGAACTATTCCCGGAGGTTGTTCAACTACAGGAGTTTGTTCCTCAGCACCACCTCCTACGAATCCATACATTCACGAATATACCGAGTGCGCATGCGCTGATGCCTCGATCGCACACCGCCGTGTAAATACCACCCACCGCGACCTGCTCCTCCATCTTCATGTCTATAACTGTGAAACACCTTGATGCCGAAAATGCCTTCCTCCTCGTCTTCTCTCCCAAGGCGCACCCTCTCCCTCTAGATCTTACTTCCGCAGCCGGCGCGGTGTCGGTACTCATCGACCCTTGGAACAAGAACCCCGCTGTCGATCCCACGGCATGTTTTCCAGAGACTGAGCACAAAAACCGGGGCGCCGTTGAGCACTGGTCAGATCTTGAAGGGCCCGACGTGCTGATCGTGTCGCACAATAAGCTTGACCACCGCTACAAGGAGACTCTCGTTCGACTCCCTTCAGAAGGGAAGACTATCATTGCGGCAGAACCGGGCGCCGCAAAGGCCATCAAGAGCTGGAACCACTTTGACCCTGCACGAGTTCATACCCTACTCAAATATGAATCCAAGGTCAAATCCGGGCGCTCCTTGCGAGTCCCCATCGCTCCCCTATCGCCTCAAGGCTTCCCGGGAGAGCTGAACATCGCATTCATTCCTGCGAAAGCGAAACGCGCCAGGACGGCCGTACACTACGCCGTTGGCGTCACATACCAGCCACCCACGCACACGAGGAGCATCGCACCAATTGCAACAGTGGATCTTCCCAAAACTACGAGGTACTTCCATATGCCCCTCAGTCCGTTGACTGTGCCTCCGTCGAGTCCTCCGGCACCTTTGACTCCTCTAGCCGATCGACCTGTGTCTTTGGATCTGCCGTCTCATGCTCAAAGCTCTCCCCAAAGCCCGGATGCGACACACTTCAAAGGACATAGACCACGACTCTCTCGTTCATCAAATACTGCATCGTCTGAATTCCTCCCGGTGTCTGAACAGCCAGCTATTCAAACACGACCAGATCCCGAAGCTGAAAAGGAGGAACTGGTACAAAAAATCCTGACGATCCCCCACCAGTCTGTGCTCTTGGAGAGTCCTTTCCAATTTGAACTCGGCCCTGCACCCTTTACATTTATCAATAATCTCCCCACACCACCAGCTTCTCCTGTTCCAACCGCGGTGTCTTCTTTATCAGGGTCGTCTCCAAACCGGTCGGCAATCTCCCGAAGTAGCACTCTCTACCATCATCGACACAGATCTTCCGTGACATCCCACCAGAAGTCTCTATCAAGCGTCTCCTCCATCCCGAATCTCGCACCCGTCACTCCCGCTCGTCCCAAAGCCGTCTCAGTCATCTACTCGCCCCATGGCGTCCCCCTGTCCGATCTACAGCCTTACATCCAAACCCATCTCGTTCGACTGGCAGGGGCGCTACCTTTGACCTTACTGCTCCACTCCTTCGACTACGCACAGAAACCCTGGTACCTTGGCGGCAACGTCTTGGCCAGCATGGACGGTGGAGCAGACATCGCTCGCGCATTGATGGCTAGGTGCTGGATCAGTGCGCATGAGGAACCAAAAGACACTTGTGGGACAGGCGTGAAGAAGCTACAGGTGAAGCGGGTCTCGGTGAATGAGGTAAGGAGACATCTATGGGAAGGGGAGGACGGCGAATGGCTAAAGAAACGAGGATGGAACTGCGATGTTCGGCGACTGGCGGCTGGGAGAGAGGTCTTCATTGGGCCGAGCCGAGATCTCTGCTCAGGGATGGAGGGGAAGAGGGACAGTCGATTGTTACGGTTCAGCGGTGCAGGAGAGGAGATGATATGAAACAAAGGTTGACGGAAGCGCGGGCACTCGCGATCCCAGCATTTTACGACTGAAGCGAATGATGTTGCAATAGCAATTGTACAAACAGCTGTATATATGGTTTGACGAGAAACGATGATCCTCAAGGCCAAAAAGTCCCACTAAGTCTTTAGTCCTGCTTGTTGCACTTGTACCGATTGGCTGGTTATGGACGGAGATTTCAACCCCCAATTTTTTCCGCATCTTGACGTTCAGGTCATCAAGTTGACCAAAGACGTCACTCGTTGATCCCTATCGCCATTTTCACCTGAACATGGATTTGTTTTGCTATACTGACGAAGCGATTCTCTGCCCTACGCCCTGCTTTCATTCAGGGCAGATGGTGAGACCGTCGCCCAACCTCGTCCGCGCCATCCGACACCATGGCCCGTGTTCTGTCTCCGTCGCAGACGGCTGCCCTCTTTGACATCCTGACCCATTACGACACCTACGCCCAGATCCGCGAGTTTCGAAGACCTGGAAGCCTTGCAAACTATGGTCCTCCTTTCACTGCGCAGCCAGCGAACCCCTCTAGTTCGCCCGCCCTACAGGCCCTAGTCTCCAAGTTCCTGCTGAACCTGCCGGGCTTGAACAATTTGCCCGAGAAATGGTGGACCGTGCAATGTCAAGAAATCATCGAGAGTCTGGAGAGGGCCAACCTGAGCGAGAGCTACGACAAGGGAGTCATCGGCAGCCGCAAGACGCTCGCGACAGCGATATCAGCCCTGATCGAATACCCCGTCAGAGGCACCTTCGCTGGCTTCCCAGAGATCAGGGAGCGCGACCCCAATTACGACCTCACCAAGGCAGATCATTTGCAACGTGCCTTTCGTGACTTCCTCAATGACTGCGTCTACGGCAGCATCCTAGACGACATGGTGCAGAAGACCGCCGAGACAGACAACCTCGACGACCATCCTCAATTAACCAAAGCCGTGCACGAGTTTGTGCTTGTCAAGTGAGCTACTTGTTGTTTGTTTGCCTTTCTTTGGCAGCCCGACTCCTGGTCCTGCTTCTTGCGCCACGGATGCGATACTGACCGATCGGATCCAGCATTGCCTCCTTTATGCACTACACTCTTATTCTGTCTCCCAAAGGCCAGTACTTGCTGAAGCTGGTCGACAACGCCAATAAACTCGTGCCTTATATGGTTCTTCGACAGACATTGAAGATCGGAAATGTCGCGACTATGATAAACGCCATGGTCAAAGTCGGTCTGGCCAAAATGAGTGTTTCCAGTGTCACCAACTGGATCGGGTTGACTCAGTCTCAGGACGAGGGCACGAATCTCATGCAAACGTACGCGTCAACAGCCTTCCCTCCTCCCTTATATCCCACGACTTATCACATATACTGACTCAATTTTGCTGCGCAGGATCATCTCCACGGTCCTTAATTGGGATATCAGGGATCTCGAGTCCAGGGCGGCCAAGCTCGAGCGAGAACGCGCAAAACTGGGCAAGGAGCAGCTGCATGCCCTGAAAGACTACGTGCATCGACCACAAGAAGAGCAGGATCGCATCCGAAAGGAAAGCCTAACGCAGTCCATCTCGATTGTAACGGCCATCTTGAAAGACACCAGATCCCCTTCTACCGAGCTGACCGACGTCCATCACAAGCAGGCGTTGGAGTACCTCTCGATCCACCTGTCCATTCGTGATCGCAAACAGCTTATCCAATGCCTGTGCAAATCTTCCCCTGATCACCTAACCCTGTCTGTCCGGGAAGTTGTCGACGCCTACGAGCCTGTCATCCGACGGATGCACAAAGCCATCGATCTGTCCTCGACACTCTCCGATTTCGAAAACTTCCTCAAAGACCTGATCAAGCTGGCGAGGATCCACACAGACAAGTCCAATAAAACCATCGTACCTACCGTGGGGGATTTTGTCCGGTTGCTCCGCAAGCATCAGCGGTCATGTCACATCTTCCTACACCAATGTGCCAAGAATGACAAGGAAGTAACGGATTGGTACCTCGACTGGGCAAAGAAAGCAGCCTTACAGTTCAGACAAGAGTCCGGCGGAGACGACTCGGACGTTTTCAAGCACGGAAAAGGCGGAGCCGGCAACCTGACATCGTCCCTGCACACCCTCTTCGCCTCTCTGCCTCAAGAAACCCAATCCCGGATCCTGCCCATCCTTGACTCTCACTCCGAGTATCTAGACAAGATGCACGAACAGTCCGCGGCCCGGCTCACGAACGTCTTGAAATCACCGCCGTCCAAAAACCCGGCCATCGCAAAGATCTTCTCCTCCAACCACTCGAACCACTCCAGTCGGCCTTCTTCAAGGACATCTAGCCCCGCTCCGCCACTAGACCGCAACGAGGGTCATGCGACGCCGTCAACGACAACTCCGACATCGGGATCATTCCCCACAATGGTCTCGGAAAGCGACATGTCCCGCGAGATCAAGGAAAATCCCACGCCAGAAGTCTCTTCCAACCCCGGCCCTGGCTCATTCCTCGCGCGCTGGCAAGCGCTGCTCGACGCCACGCCGATCACCCCGTTGAGTCAACAAGGAAGTCCAAGGGCCGCGAGCTCGCCCGAGGTGGTACAGGCGAGCGCGACGGACGTGGATGGTTCGAAGCTTGTAAACTTTAAGAACAAGGAAGCGAGAGGGGAGAAGATCCGAGTCGAGGACCAGCAGCCGCCGCTTGGGAACATTGGAAAGGAAGATGACGTGGGGATCGGTCAAGGGGCAAGAAAGAGACAGAAACAGTTGAAGATTGTGATCGACGCCATGGGAGACGAATTCAGGCAGTTGCTGGCCAAGGAGGCGTGTTATTGGTGAACAGTCCACTACTAGGGAAAGGAGACGAGGGATATACCTCCTGTTTTGTCGGCACACCTTGGCCGGGCAAAATATCTCTCTATGGAAAGGGGTGAGGGAATCCGAAAGATTGGTTACAGAAATTGTGACTCGGCTCTGCTCGACTTTGCGACTTTTGTTCTTGATACCACGCCATTCCACGTCTTCGGCACGAGCGAATTGGATTGGACTGAGCCCGGCGGAAAGGCGACCCGACAGAAATCGTCGAGCGGTTTGAGCCACACCCCAAAGAGAACGACGGGGATTAGCTGCTTTCTTCCCAGCCATCGAGCTGGCGGCAATCTTGCCCCGGTGGCCGAAAGTTGTTCTCTGTATACAGTACAGGGACACATTCATTCGAGCCGGGAGCCCGGAGGAGAAATATGAGACCCGAGAGCCCGACGGACATGGCCCACGTCTATCGAGATGTTTCTACCACCAGTCCCAACACTGACAGACACACAGGTCATGGACACACACATACAACAAGCAGGGAACGAACAAACGAACGAACACATTCATGAACGAGGATGTCGCACCCGCCCCTTGCCTGCCTGCCTGCCTGCATGCATGCTTTTAAGCCCAGAACGTCCGGAACGACACATGACATCTTCCCTGCCTCACGCTGAGGGTACGATGATTCATGACTTTGGGATTGAAAGGAGGGTGGATGCATGGTGCGCGGTGGACGGTGAGAGCGCTGAACGCAGACAAGGACATCACATTTACATGGCCATGGCTATGGGTCATGGGCAAGCCCATATCAATCTAACCCGCAGTCCACATTGTCGTCATATCATTACCCCAGCTGGTCAACGCCGCAGGATCCGCTTTAGACGATATTGTTGCTCTTAGACGCTTGAAAGACCGTGCACTTGGAGTGCGTATATGGGTGGCCTGATTTCAAAGACAAAAGGAAAGATGGAGAGGAGGACTCGAACTTGTACCCTTGGTTCGGTTTGGCTTTGGAACCTCCAAACAGTACACATGTCTTTTTTCCCGTTATCTCGTCAAGACTCATACAAATGGCATATTCTGTCCGACCGTGTTCCACCATACTTTGTCCGGTGAGCGTTCTCTTTTGTCTTTAAGTGACCGTAGCTGATGACATCCTCGGAGCTGAAAGCTGTTTTGCCTCTTTTTTTTTTTCTCTTTTTCATTTTCATTTCGGATCGTTGCTCTCAACACAGCTCATGACCGCGACGCGAATCAATACTGATGAGATGAGTATCATGCAATTCCCCCAAGCATACCAATACCAATGCAAGTGCCAATGTGCCGTTTATTCCGAGACCAGACTACCCGTCATGGTATATCCAACCCGACCAACCCATTGATCGTACCATCAAAGACTCCGTAAGTGGTGATTCCATATGCAAGAGGTTCCAATTTGCGTGTCGAGTGCTGAAAAGCAGTGGGGGAAAAGCGTTCTCCATGAAAGCGGCAATCTCTTGAACGACAAAAACGCAATTGGGTATCAATCATCATGGGGCCAGCGCCTCAAAACGTAGAGGTAAATATTCACAAACCGTTCGTCTATCTTCGTAAATTTTGGAATATCGATTGAATGCGAAGCATCGTCGCCGCTGGCTCTACCGCCCTCGCAGTTGCAGCATCCGCAACCTTCTCTCGTCATCTTGGATCGAACTCACTGTTCGGTGAGATATTGACATTCTTGGAACGCCATTGACGGGTGAATCCGGTGAATTTGCAGTCGCTGTTATGGTACCCGGTAACCTTGGCGAAGTTCTAAGGTGGGCAGTCGGAGGTTCTGCTAACGGCGGAGGGCTGGGGTCTGTAACAGCAGCTCCGTAGGTCGGCAGTGGTATCGATGGATCAAATTGCTTCCTCGGGGCAGGTGTCTTGACCGCTGTTGTGTATGAGGGAACGCGAGCCAGATCCTCCATATGGTCGTACTGAGGGAATGGCGTCCTAGTGCCAGAATGGTGACCATCTTCTTCTTCTTCTTCAGAAGTCCGGCGCGAAATCATGAGGCTGCCTGGCTGACTCGGTGTATGGGAAGGACCGCCCGGAGACGCACCTTGATCAATAGGACTAATTCGTGGATACGAGCTGGGAGCCGATGCACTATGTGGTGCGAAATAATCTTCAGGCATGGTCGTAGACGACGAGTTCCGCCTAGATCGTCTATCGGCTGGTAGCGATAGATTACTTATCTCACTGTCTTCGTTGCCACGCAGATCTTGGATGAAGGAGTCGCCCACTCGAAGATCCTGGAGCCTGCTCTGAAGAGCCATTGGTGACACGTAGTTTCCATTGGCCATTGCTGCCAGACTCGCGAGGTTTTCCTGGGACGCATGGCGACTGTGGAGGTACGGAGTCCCAGGAGTAGACAGGGCGGTTCCGGGAGTTCGATAACCATCCACATCGGAATATAAGACATCCAAAGTATGCTTCCCGTACACGGGCGGCGCTGCGTTGGCCAAATCGTTAGCAATAGCTGCCCTCCCGGCTTGAGGCGATTGGTCAACCAGATCGTTGTTTTCGTTGATAGGCAGACTGGGAGATATGTAAAACGAGACCGGGAGGTTGGCGCGTAGTTCAGAAATGTGGCCGTCGGGGTTGTGTAACTGAACATTAAATTTCACTTTATGTCGAACCTTGATTCCTCTGACATTACAGTCCTGTAAGCACTGGTTCAGAGATTTGGGCAACTCGAGATATCGAGAAAATTGATAGCCTTCGGCAACTTCGTCGATGATTTGCTCATCCTTTTCAGGCTCGACCTTGTAGAGGTCCGACGCAATGACTCTGTCCATCTTGGTCAGGCCATTGTTCAGAGCGGATATTCCCCATTCTGGATCAACGACAAACTCTTGCTCTTCTTTGACCTGCGTAGAGACATTGCCGATAACCAAACCTTTCAAGAGAGATATTAATTTGAAGTCAACTTGAACAAATGACCCAAAGGCGACCGCCTTGTTGGGGATGCTAATCGAGTATTCGATTTTATTCGGCCATATGTTTTCGACAGACTAGTAGCGGGTCAGAAAAGGGAGAGGGGCAATGCATATAAAAGTGAGGACCTCGTACCATTGCGTGGGAAAGTTCCAAGGCATTCGAATCCAAAGTGCGGACGATGCGCAGAGGTTTGCGGACGACAATGTCCCTCCCCCTCTTGCGACTGATTTCAGCCTTCAAGCGGTAGATAATCCACGCATCCTTCAGACCTTCCACACTTTCGGGCAAAGAACCCTCAAGGATGCATTGGAATGGCCACTCGTAGTTGTCGGGTTGTAAAATTTCGGTCTTGCCTTTCCCAGGGTCTCGGAACGTCCAATTCTTCTCGAAAAAGGTCTTCTCCTTGTAAGTGGTACGCCTGCCTGACATGGAGGATGTGGAAGTAGTCTGCCATCTGTACACATCAGGTTAGTTGGAAAGTGATCACGCGAGCGAGAGGAGTTGCCGGAATTGCCGTGGGACCATCATTCGACTTACGACATATGCAGGATTCCACTCAGAGTCAAGTCGACGTGGTGGATAGTCATAGGTTCAGTGAGGCACAGAACCAGAGACCCCGAAAGTTGGGCACTTGCAGCCTCGTCTTCATTGCCCCGAAACACGATGTAGTCATTGTCCAGGCGGATATCGAAGTGTTTGACGCTGCTACTTGAGCCTGAGTGAGAGGTATGCGCACTCAGAAACTTGAGCGCCATGGTTTGTGATTTGGAAGGTGCCAGACCGTGGAGATGACGGTTGGCTGAAGAAGACGAAGGAGAACTCGAAGGACGCTGGTTCAAGGGAGTGCGCGAGACTGGCTCATGGCGGCCGGAGGAGCATTCGGGAGAATGCTTGCGGTTTAGACGAAGGAGCGGCCTAATCTGCTGGATTGGAGTAAGAACATTGGAAGGAGAGTGACGAGATAGTACAAGGAGAAAGGGAGAAGGATTGAGAATGAAGCATATGACAATCAACGAGGCATGCGCAATGAGATCGCACAGGCTGATACACCCAAGCTTCTACTCATACGCAGGTGGGCATGCAACAGAAATTTGAGGTGATGACTGCGACAGAAAAAAGATAATGATCGGGTCGGAGGGGATAATTGGACGGAAGGGTACAAAGAGTGGATAGTCGGGTTGCGTGCTGGGTGGGCGCTGGGGGGGCGCTGGGCGGGAATGGCTGAGATGATGCAGGTAGAGTGGCTAATGGAAGGGCCGTGTGGGAACTTACTGTTATCAGGCGCGGGTCTCTCTGATGAGGGTCCACTCCGGCTGTTCTCTCGCCGCCAGTCGATAGCGGCAGTGGCGGTGGTCGTGCTAGGGGCGCCGCTGATGATGCTGATGCTGAAGATGCCGATCCTGGTGCAGAGTCTGTGGGCTGATGAGACTTTCTAGGGCCCCTTCTAGGTAAGGCTCCCGCGAATGAGACCGATGACGCCGAGGCCCCATTAGCGGTAGAACCTAGGCTTGAGCCTGTGCCTGGCAATGATGCATCTGCTGTAACAATTTCGGCTTCGATGGGTGCTTCGATGGGGAAACTTGCAGCTTCCTCGATGTCGTCGTGCCGAGGATACGGATAGCTGCTTTCCGTGAGTGTAATGGCAGGTATCGAGCTTGACGACGACGCCGTCGTCCAGAGAGAGGATGTTGTGTTGGTCGTATCGGATCTCCCTCGTCCATTGCTGTTGGCCACACTGCCGTCCTCGAGTCTTCTCTCTTCACCGTCTATCTGTCTCACGACGGGGGCTGGATCCTCCACCTGGGCCGCCAACGGTGTCCTGGCCTTGACTTTGGCCCTGATGATTGCTGTGGCCTTCATAGTGCTCAAAGGGGTGAGCACTGGCGCTGGAAGTTCTCGTAACAAGGCTCTCGTCCCCGCCGATCTTTGATTCCCCAGCGTCATATTTCGCCTGCTCTTTGTCTGGCAGTATCCTGGGCTTCTCTTTGCGGTGTGCTTGTGTCCGTCTGCATCTGGATCCTCCCAGACCACTGTTCCACTGAATCTGGCCAATCTAATTCGAGGCTGCGCTACTCTTTTGGCGAATTTTCCTGCTGAAGGCCGCGATCTCTTCCGAAACCTTGGTCACCTGGACCGTGGGCTCGTGGGTACAAGTAGTCGAGAGGAAATGATCGGGAAGCGCAGGAACAGGCGGATACTGGCAAGATTGACACCCAAACAGAGATAAGTCTGATAGCACTGATTGCAAGGCCGATAATGGAAGCACGATAACCGATCTGATGTCTCTTCTGACCAGAAAGGTGAATTGGGGTAGAGCACTCTCCTCTACCATCAAAGTGTTGAGACACGTGGAACGAGAGTCAGGATCAAGGACGGAACCCGATGGCACAGAAGTGAAGCATCTGACGCTGAGAAATTAATTGTGATGCCCTCGTTTTCCTGCATGGGCAGTGCCTGCGAATACGTGCCCTGTAATGTGTGCGTCGCAACCAACACCTCACACGATCTTTTTAAGAGTGTAGGCCCCCTTTATCATCATTCGTTGCATAACCCCCAGTAGGGCCCCTGCAAAAAGTGCTCGGGGCGTCCAGGAGATCGTCAGGGCTGAAAAAGAAATGGCCCTCGATTCCTCGATCCGATTCCAATCACGGAAACATGGCCATCTTACCAAGCACCCCTCCTCCCCTCTCCTGTCACCGAACGCACAGTCAGAAACAACATTACCGAGTACGTGATATGGAGTTTTGGGCCTCCAGATGTGAAACCCCCAAAACTCCTCCTGCTCAACCGTTTTCGTTCTTTGCAGCCAGAAACCTACGAGTCGTATCTCCGTAGTGATCGCATCCCCCTTTCTCGCATTTGATCCTGCTCCCTTCTTGACCTTGTCATACCACAGGGGCTGCACGAAGTGCACATGTGGCTACCCCTCTGCCCTTCATCCCACCCTGGCTGATTTTCTTCTGGCTCCTCTGACAGCACTTATGGCTGCTCAGGGAAAGTCTACTCGGAGCGATGGTACCTTGATCCTTGGGAAGGACTTTACCTATACTCTTCTCGGCCCCACGCGCTTTTCCAAGGCCCGAACTCGAGCATTGGCATTAGCAGGTTAGATGGGCTATGGTCACCATCTCGGAACGACGGTGCCGTTCAAAACTCTATGGAGAACAAGCTACAAGTACGAGGGACTCTGCAGAAGTCTGAGGTAATTGAATGGAGTCGGCCCAAGGGAGTTGATCAAACCTCCCCTATCATCCGGCTCATCGGCACTCCCCGTACTAAGCGACTGCTTAGAGAATGCTTGCTGCCGACCCATGGTGTCATTGTTTGATCGTCATGTGGTTTGTTATAGATGACACTAACTTTCGCCCCAGTGCTGGAATGAGTAGATACAAGTACGGAGTATCTACTGCTTGTCCCGTACCCTCGTCCATGACACTCAATCCCCAAAAGACGTTGTTGACTTGCATAACAAGTATGGACTGGCAGACCCGTTGTGGACGTAAATTGATTGCCGTTAAGTCTTTCTACGAGCAGTTGTCGATCAAACTGTCTCCGCGCCCCAGCGCGCAAATATCAGGTTTTCTAGCGAGCAACAAAGCGCACATGGCTTGTGCGGAATGCCTCATCACTCTTATCGACATGCCCAATGCGCTAACCCCTAGGGAATTCCACTTGAAGTCCTTAACGGGCGCCAGCCAAGCGGGGACTTCCAAACTCTGCTGGATTGTAGTCGAATTAGCGACACACCCGATAGTGACATCTCGTGCTATAGCGAGGCTCTGACATTCCCGCCATCTCGTATATGCAGCTCAGGGCCTTGGCTTTTCGGAGATATCTATTTGACTGCTGTTTGGGGCTTCTCGAGGTCGATTCCAAGTGCGCAAGTGTCCTTAAACAATGTGAGTATTAGCCTGTTCGTTCCTTGCTCATATACATGAAAAATGCGCGCGTACCTTCGTTACATGTCGTGATAATGCAATCCTGTTCGAATGCGACACCACTCAGTGGATGATCATCTATCTTCTTGGACTGTCAATTGAATGTCAGTAGCCGTACCGTGCAAAACTCTTGTCTGGCCGCATCTTTTGCAGACCTACCATTACGGGGGGTAGTTGAGCCGTCCTTGCTCGGGGTTCAACAGCGTGGTTGAGAAATTCGGATTCATCGACAGTGTCAGGTTGGACGAAACTTCCAGTCCGGTTTGAATCGGATCTGATTCGGTTCACGATACTTGTGCTCTCCGTCCGTTGTCGAAGGAGCGAGATCGAGGGAGATGAGATGCTGCCTCTAGTCCTAGCTGTCGCCTGTGTTCTGTGTAAGCGTGCTGTCAAATCGACCTTGGGGTTTCATGGTAATCAGCTTACCCCTTTCGGACGATGAAGCATGCCAACACTAAAATCCCAAAGAAGGAGCTTGCAGTCATCGCCCACACTGCCAAAACGATATGTTCTCTCGTCGCAACGCCATGGGTCGAAGGCAACAGCCGTCACCCACGAATCATGTCCAGGACATCGCGCAATAATCTGACGTTCGGGAAGCGACCAAATAGTGACGAGGTCGTCTTGGCCTCCGGTGAGCACGTATTTGCCATCAGGCGACCAGCATACGCATGTGAATCCGCCGTAATAAGAGGAGTATATATCGGTCAGCCTGTGTAACATTAGTCTCACAAATCCTGAAAGACAATGTGAGAAGTGATTGATTCCTCTGTGTACCTTTCTTGAGGATAATCTATTATCCGAAGATACCCATCATCGCCGACTACAGCGAGATGTTTATTGTCCGGCGAAAATGAAAAGTCGGTGATGTTCTGGTTGGAAATTCGCCAGCAAGCTACTGGATTGGCCTTTTGATTTGACGAGTTCACACTTTTGCTGATGACCAATGTGGACTGATCTTCATCTGGGATACTGATCGCTTCATCTACCAGCTCTTCCGAGACAAAGGGTGCATCTTCCTTCTCTTTGTCGTATACGATGAGTGTTCCGTCCATATGAGCCGCTAGGAAAAGATTTTCCGATCCAGGTATCCATCTTATCGTGGAAACGGCTGAGTTGTTGATGATCCCATTCTTGTTGATGCGTGCATACTTTTGCGATATTGGCTCATACCAGATAATATCGCTTGCCGAAGAACCCATAACAACGTCCATGTGCGTCGAATGCTTGGTCATACTATTGACATCGTGACACAACATGTGAGCCTGCAGCAACCGATTAGTTGATACCAACACTGGCAATGGGATTACAATGAACTCCGCAAGCATAACATCGAATCGATGACAAGACAGTCACTTGCCTTGGTGAAGAGAATCTTGGTCATTGGGTCCTGTTTGGACCCTGAAGACAGATCCAGCCACTGAAAAGCCCGGTTGATGTTGACAAATGCAAAGGTCCCTCGCTGATCTCGTTCCTGAAGCTTCTTTGGGAGAGATTCGTGGGGAATGACGCGAGAGACGAATGAGGAATTGCTCTTAATGATGTTGTTCTTGGGTTTTCGTCTCTTGAGACCATCCCTGCTGATGACGGGAGAGAGAGCAGCATTCCCTTCGCCGAAGGCTTTCACGGTACTCGACTTATTGCTTCCATTTTGTGATCCCGCAAGGTTGCTACTATCGCTGCCCGTCTCTATTGATATCCTCGGCTCTTTCTCCACCTCTTTGATATCTTTCAACTCCCTTGCGTCCTTGAGCTCCTTGGACTCTTTTGTTTCCTTTGAATTGTTTAATCCCAAAGTTCTCCAGCGCAAAAGACTGCTCGTCGCGGTAGTGGTTCTGTAGAGGTCTGGAGTGATTTGTTTCGGGCTCAGCGATACTAGAGACAATTTAACACCACTGGTGGGGGGAGCAACGTTGGTCGCAAGGGGATTGGGATTGACGATAGGAGCTTCAGAAGGGTGCGGTGGAGGGGTAGCGAGTTGTAGGTCGTCTCGTAAAACATATGTGCCTGCTCGTCTGTTACTAGATGTGTCGGTGGCAAAGGCGAGAATCGTAGCTACCTTCGCCAGCCTGAAATGTGTATTCGGGCCCTTCGCGAATGGTCAGGGTATTCGCAGTTTCAAGGGTTGTCGCGATTAAGCCACTGTTGATGGGATACCGCGGTGGTGGGGGAATCGCACTGCGCAGAAGCTATCAGCGGAAGCCAGGAGAATACGCAATGAGATCTCGAACGTACAACATGGTAGCCGAACACGAGCGCAAGAGATTCTATCACCGGCGCAAAAAGTGTCAAGGAAAGGAGAAGAAGGTACCGCGCAAGGCGAGGAGGTTGCAGTTGTACGAGGAGGAGAGCAGAAAATGATGGGAATGGTGGAAGTGGAGGATTGAGTTTCGAGTTCAATCGTGACATCGAACGAGTTTGGGGGAGGCGGCAGGTCAAGAGGCCCTTAACAGCCCCTACCGACTTAACCCACTAACCTCTTCTCCGGGTTATCCCTCGAGGGTTCGGTGGGTCTCGACCTTCTGATGCGGGGAGCGTTGCGTTCGCCGACCACAATTCAGCCGAAACTGTTGATTGTCGCCGCAGCTGCCGGCGCCGCCATAACCATATCATCTCAGAGTGTAGCGAGACACCAAATGCCAGATATATGCGCCGGGCTCTGCCACAGTACAAAGCCTTGGGCTATAGCAGGACGATGTGGTCCTTCACCCTCCGAGTATAGTTGCTCGAGTCTCTTTCCGCACAAGGTTGTTGACGGTTTGCGACCTCCTGATCGAAGATTCCAAGTAGCGAGTCAGTGTCTTGGAGGAAATCAGATATCATCGGGCCACTTCATAACAGCCAGCTCTTCCCTTAGTATACTCGTCAGTTCCTGGCTTACAGCCTCAAGGTCTTCCCTAATTTTCTGTGTATCTCTGTCCTCCTCGTCCTGAATATCACTCTCGTCCTCCTCTTCCTCTTCTGGATGACGTTCAATTCCGTTGGTCATCTGCGCATGCGCTTGAGACGACTCAAGATCATTCTCAAGGGACGGTTTCTGCTTCGGTTCGGGGCCCGTCACGGCCAGCAGCACATGATCCGCAACAGGCGCTATGACAGAGATGGCTCCCATGTTTTGTGCCTCAACCACGAGAACATCCTCTGACGCGACCGTGTAAGCTGCAGTCATGGTGGTAGATTGAGTGCGCATAGCTTTAATCGATGGCGTGGAGTCCCTGTAGGCATATGCGAGTATTGATCCGTTCAGAGCAGAGACCATGAGGGAAGAGACATTTTCACTCCAATGTAGGGCTTCTCGTAATAGCGAAGATAAGCGATCGGAGTCCAGCAAACAGACTTGGGTCATCTTGAATCGTGAAAGTAGAGCTGTTGTGGGTCTGGCGTTGGGTAGGGAAGTTCTCGAACGCAACCAGCGGAAATACTCGATCTGGATCACCCAGGCGCGCCCAGCGATGAAGTTGCAGAACATGCTTGGCAGCCTGGACTGCCCCAGCCTTCAGGTGCCTCGAACGTCATCCGGGTCAATTACATTATTTTCACCTACAACATTATAGGTTCATATATACCTAGTAATATTATAATAAGCCACCACCACAATGACTGGCTGGGTATTATTGTTGTACGTTTCTTAGTGATGAAATATCGCACTCTCAAAGTCAATGTAGCAAATGTAGACCACTTCTCTTGTACCTCCAAGCAAAGGTAGAGGTATATCTACAAAGTGATCAGAATGATATTCAGATTCTAATACAGCTTTTAATGCAGTTAAATGATGCCAGAAGTCAATTCTATATTAACCCCTGGCTGGGTCCAACTCTGGTGACATGGTTACAACTTTGGTCCAGGTTTCTGGATTTGAAGCGTGCCTTTCGAGGCCTGCGATATTTGACGACTCTTGTCGAATTCACGAACCATTATCTCACATCGAACTTCCCTGCAGAGTCGTTTTCTCCTCTCTGGTGACAGTTTCTCGGCAAATACCAGTCCGCTGGCTCTTTCGACCGCTTCAAGAGGGACTTCGAAATCACTCAAGCTCTTGGAGTTGGGTATCTCAGCGTTGGGCAAGACGAAAGCGCCAAGGGCCACAGGTCCGTTTGGGCTTTGGGCTGCCTCCTCAGCGAAGATGACTTTGAAAAAGTGGGTGGGCACGGCGACATTTGGGGGATTGCCAATCACTTCGTAAGAAACCCTCCATTTCCCATCCCGTTCGTCTTTTTTGGGCAAGTATAAGGGACCAGTTACCACTCGTACACTTGGGAATCTCTTAACCAGATCTCGACAGAATTCCTCAAAATGAGCCCAATAATCTCGATTGAACCCCTCTCCAACTTGTGGGCACATATTGCTTAAGACGAATGTGGAATCCATCGCCTCTTGTGACCATTTCGCATCTGCTGCTGGAACCTGATGCCCCCTGTCGTACCCGCTGCGAAAGTAGTCGGAAAGTTTTGCTCGAAACATTGGTGGAATCGACAGATCCTCGTAAAACACGCTGTTCCGTCGAGATCCATTGTTCAGCAGCAGAGACTGCGCCGTGAAATGTTCTGCTACCCAATGGGGGTTCCGAGTGAACCTGTTAAAGGCAGAGAGATGAGAGGGTGTGGTCAAGGTATCGGCAATGGGGCCAGGAAACCCATAGCGGAGGATGCCAGAGGGATCGACGGGCGGGATGATGGCAGGAGAAGGAGTTTGGACCGGTACAGCGACAGGTACTGGGACTGGGACAGGGACCGGAGTGGGAGTTGATGGTGCAGGTATTGTTGGTGTCTGATTCAATGTCCCAGTCGGTATGGACTCATCTTTTCGGTGGCCAGGAAATAGTAAAGCCGTCAGCGACGCGCCTGCAAACGCAGACGTCGCTGCTATGATAGCAATAGTCGTCTTGGACATGTACAGTTGTTGGCAGGCAATATTGAAATCGTGCCATAAACAAACGCGTCTCTCGGATCGCAGAGATGGACTTGAGAGGAAAAGTTGAAACTGTTGGTTAGCATTGTGCTGTAGAGGCCAATCGGCAACGAGATCATAGGTGCCGTTCCGCTCGCCAGATCTACTTACCCCTGCGTGTGGCCCCGAGCGTGGTGGATTCCTGTACTCGTAGCTGAAGATGACAAGGCCTGGGCCTGCCCGACTGCATGGATTTAGGCGGCCCATGATTCGCACCTCTCTCGCCCCGAGTTTCAACTAAACCCTATAGGTGCGTAGTCTTAAGGTCCTCTAAAGAAGTCCTGGAATGTTCGTCATCCCACTTGCTGTAACTGCGCTCGCGCCTCCTAATAAGGAGATACTTTCTCCAACCTGACATTCTGCGTTTCTCTTTCCAGCTTCGACTCTCCCTAAGGGACTTCAAGTATAGCATGAGCAATCTCTTACGACACTAACAGATCACATTGTACCGTACAATGCTATATTTTTGACCTTGCAACTCAAGAGGAGAGAATACGCGCAAGATGGCCATCGACAATGATACCAGAGGCTGGATTATGACATGCATCAGCGGCATTGGTAGGCTGCAGATTCCTCCCAGACTGGATCTCAACGGAAACTGATTTTGTGTCTTCATAGCATGTGTTATTGGCTCGTCGATCATCTGCATCGATATAGTAGCACGCCAGTTTCCAGTTTGGCGACACTTTTCGATATCCGAGAGTGATGGGTTTCTCTCTGCGTCACTAAGCCTCAGCTTCGGGGTCATGGTACGTATGTTCTGGATACTGAGCGATCTTCCGGTTGACCGCAAAACAGTTGTTCTCCGCCCTGTACTCGATGCTTCCTCAGTCGAAGACGTATTTCAAAGACGCGGGCTATTCGGCACGGGCAGCATCATACCTCCTGATTGGGTTGTTTTTGGCTGGTGTCATAGGCATTCAGATCTTCTCCCGCGCTCTGCATCATTTTATCCCATCACACGTTGTGGACTGCGATCATAGTCACGACGAGGAGGAGGCCAAGAATCCCGAAGAAATGTCAGAACATGCGCAGGACGATGAACATACCAACGGCCTCCCGATATCCAGAACCCACTCCAGGCCGACGGAAGAGGAGGATGAGGATACACCTTTGCTCTCACGAACCACAAGCGTTAGCCCCAAAAAGCCGCAGCATGAAAGGACAGAGGAGGAGGGATCAGCTCGCCAGCCTACATATCACACTGCACAGACCCATCGAAGGTCGTCGGCCATGTCTAGAACACTCTCGAGGACACTTTCGAAATACGTCGGGGGTCAGAAGGACAATTGCGACGAGAACGGCCCGTGCATGGGCTTTTCGGACCCATGCGGCCAGGACTGCTTCAAGGCTGTACACAGACGAGGCTCTGTGTTACCAGGACACGGCCCTTTCTTACGCTCACCCACGTGGCGCAGCGGCACGACTGAAGCACGCGGCGGGTCGACGCTGGGAGAAATCGAAGAGAATCCATTGTCAAATGGGTCGACTCTAAGGCGTCATCCGAGTGAGGACGCCGATACGGGGAGCTTGAAACCGGAGTTGCACCGCACAAGGTCGTCAACACACCACTTCCACCACCCTCCCCACCAACATGCAAGCGTAGAAGGGTCCGAACGTCGGCTGTCAGAGCATTCCCACGCTGGTGGTCACGAACATCACCATCATGTTCCCACTAATGCATTCATGTCAATTGGTCTGCAGACTTCGTTAGCCATCGCATTGCACAAGGCACCAGAAGGCTTCATTACGTACGCCACCAATCACGCCAATCCTCAGCTTGGATTTGCCGTTTTCATGGCATTGTTCATCCACAACATCACGGAAGGCTTCGCCATGTCCCTGCCTCTGTACCTCGCTCTTGGCTCCAGATTCAAAGCCATAGCGTGGTCGTCCTTCTTGGGTGGTATTTCACAACCACTCGGAGCTGCCGTTGCAGCATTGTGGTTCAAGCTCGCCAACAAGAGCAGCTTGGGTGCTCCTACTGAAGGGGTATATGGTGGCATGTTTGCCGTCACGTCGGGCGTCATGACCAGCGTCGCGTTGTCACTGTTCTCGGAAAGCCTGCAGCTCAGTCACAACAAGAACATCTGCATTGCCTTTGCTTTTTTGGGTATGGGTATTTTGGGCTTGAGCTTTGCGCTTACGGCGAAATAGATTCCTCGGGGAACTAAGAGCTGTCTATTCAATTCATCTTTAATCCCTGTATAATGCATCAATGAGTAATGACCAAAAACAATGATTTTCCAAAAAGAGTCACACTGTGGTTGGCCACATTTCAGCCTCGTCACCGTCACCTCTGGCGGTGAAACAGGCGGCGTGGACAAAAACATCAGCTCAACACATATGCTATCACAGATGACGATCTGTCGATGACTTTTTACCCAGGCTTCCGCCATGCACCTTTGGTCGTACAACTCCAGCCTTGGGATGCCGAGCACGTGATGATAAATGCGCCGAAAGAGGCTAGCGTGTTGATCTGTCTTGTCCGCCGAGCCGCCTTGTCCGCCTTGCATATCACGGCCACACGGCCTTATTGCAGCTGGTTTATCAAACCACTGCTTATCGATCCACTTAGTTATCACTCCGTCTCCCTAGATCGCAGGCTGCATCACTCAGATCTTACCAGCAACACACCGACTTGGCCCAGATTCGACATCCCACATACAGTGTTGCCTTTTACCAAGTTCAATGACTCACGACCAAGTCCAATCACTCCTCACCTTCAAACCCCTGATGGCGTCTGCGCCTCTGGTTGCCTGGAATCCTTCGCAGGCATCAGCCTCCTTCTCTGGCACAATTCCTCAACACTCCGAGCAGCAGCTTAGCAGCATCAGTCAATGGACAGTGGAAACAATGCCAAATCATCTAGAGGTAATACCAGTTTGAGCAATCCCCGCCGTGAGTCAAGGTCCAGTCCACTTGTGAGCCGGTGAGTTTTGTAGGCAACAGAAATCCTTTCAATGGCTGTCAGTCAAAACTTGTCCGCCACAGGCGCTTCGTCGAAAATTGTATAAACCTGCCACCGCCGTCTTCAATCCGACTCGTAAAATCTCTCCTCAATCCATTCCACATTGCCCTTGTCAGCCCTTCAGTCGTGCCTTTTTACCTTGTCTGCTTCTCTTTCTCCAACCGTCACGATGTCTAAATCCGAGAAAACCGCCTCCAAAGCTGGAGAGCGTGACGAAAACAGCAACCTCAAGGCTGAGGAGCCGAATCAGAAGAAGGAGGAGCAGGTGAAGAAGGAAGACAGGCCCAAAGGCCCACCGGTAGCTAAGGGTAGTATCAACGAGGCCAAGGCGCTGTATTCGAAGAAGGATCAGGATGGAAAGGACCAGTGGGTGACGGAAGAGCCCGTCGACGTTGTCGAGGCGGCCGAGAATGAAGAGACTGCCAAATTTGCCTTTTTGGTCCGCAAACAGAAAAGTTACGACAGCCGCAAGGTGAGTTGGCGGTAACTTTGGGGCATGTTGAATAGGAGGGTCGCTCACACAAGGCTGCAGAAATACGACATCCACTCGATCATTGTCCAAAGTCCTTGGCTCAAGAAGTCATTGGGTGTCATCCTCGAAGATTATCCCGGTATCACGACCAATCTCGACCGACTTGTCTTTCGCGCCCCATTTCACCCATTCGTGCATCGATGGGATAAGCTCACGTCGCTCCTCGAGGAGGACAACTTTGAGGAGGATATCGCCCGAGATCACCTCAAGCTCTTCCGTGACACTCTGTTCGAGGAACTCGAGAACGCCATCGCTGCCAAAATCGACCTGGTCAAGAACGAGGTCGTCACCTTTGAATACCTCTGGACAATCTTTGAGCCTCAAACACTAGTGTACAGCATGTCGGATGGTAAGGAGTGTGTCTTCAAGCTCAATTCCTCAAGCAGAGTGACAGACTCGAGGCGCGGACTCGAACTTTTGCAACTGGACGTCTGGTCCGTCGACTGGGACGGCGACAAGTTCGGACAGCACGTCACCTACCTGTCAAATTACGAGTTCCCCGGCACCACACCCATCACCTCCCTTCAAGCATACCCGCTGAAATTCCATCCCGAAAAAGAGCAGCTGATGCTCCGACTTGTGGCGCGAGGAAAGCTCTTTGAGCGCCTCGCGGGATACCATTACAAAGCATATCGAGGAGTTGCTCTTGGATATGGCCGTTGTGGGATGATCCGACACAATGTCGAATCCCGAATCATCATCGACTGCGATGCGCACAACCGGTTTCTGCCCAACAACGCCGTGTACTTCAACTCGCTGTTCAAGTCCTCCAACCAGATTAACGGCCTCTTGTCAGACGAGTCTGAAGATCAATCAGAACAATTCGATTTCGACGGCTTCTTGGACAACGAGTCAGACTACCTTGCCACGCCGGACTCGGGTGACGATGCGTGCAGCCCCAAGCATCGTCCGCTCACCACGGAAGAACTGCTCATCGCCGTGCCATACGTGCGAGGTTATGCGCTGAAAACTAAGAAATGGGTAAGTCAACACGCGAGTTGAACCGATGGCTCTGATAGTCTTCGACAAGCCGTCCATCCCCTCTTTCATCCCCCGTTCCTGATACACAGGTCCCTCTGTCAATGCTAATGGGGGTTGTGAAACAATGTAGCTCTGGTTCTATGTCGATCAGGTCGAGGAAATCAAGTTTGCCGACAACGCTTTCGCATCGCTGGTGCTGCCCAAGGAACAAAAGTCGTTGATCCGCGCATTCGTCGAGTCTCAAGTCAAGTACAAGGACGACTTTGACGATGTCATTACCGGCAAAGGCCGTGGCATGATCATGCTTCTTGCGGGCCCTCCTGGGGTGGGAAAGACTTTGACGAGCGAGAGCGTTGCCGAAGACATGCGGGTGCCTCTGTAAGTCTACCGCCTTTGTGGCATTGCAGGAGAGAAAACAAGGTCGTTCGCAGGGCGCCCAGAGCTAACACGAGCCTTAGCTACATGATGTCCGCTGGAGATCTGGGGCTGGATCCCTCTGGGATTGAAGAGTCGCTCAACCTGGTGCTCGATATGGTCAGCAAGTGGAATGCAGTGTTGCTGCTAGACGAAGCCGACGTCTTTCTCGAGGCAAGAAGCTCCAATGACCTCGAGAGGAACAAGATGGTGTCAATCTTCCTCCGTGTGCTGGTAAGTGGGCAATTCCACCCCCAACGCTGCTTATTGGCACCCAGCCGACCCCATCATCCCCCTGCTCGGGCGCCATTGTGTTTCTTGAGAAACCGGTGTCAGCGCATTTTCGGGGCCAGGAAAACTTGAAAGACCTATACGAGCAGATCTTGGGTTTTGTTTACCAAGATGCGTGCGCCTTGGTTGTCCAACTCGGGCCGCGGAAGTTGGGGTCCGCCGTACTTGTTTTGCACAACCCACCACAAAGCACCGGACATGCATTTTCTTGCCTTTCACCGTCATTTCTGAGACATGCAGGCTGATCAGATGGAACAACGCTGACGGAATTGGCAGGAATACTATGAGGGCGTGTTGTTCTTGACGACCAACCGGATCACGAACATTGACGAAGCATTCCACAGCCGCATTCATGTGACGGTCAACTACCCCAACCTGTCAGTCGAGTCTCGCCGTCACATCTGGCAGACCTTTTTGGGGGCGGATCACCCGGTGAGCGGAAAAGACCTGGAGCGCCTCGCCCGGGTGGAGCTGAATGGGCGACAAATCAAGAACATTTTGAAGACGGTAGGTTCTTCCGCCCTTTCTCTTCGCAAACACAGGAAGAATGGGAAGACCCACCGCCCAAAAAAACGGACGCAGATGGAGGATATGTTTCATTTTTGAGGGCCGGGAGTCAAGTCTCGATTGTCCCATCAGAAATATCTGCCCTTTCCATTCTCATGGTTTTTCTCCCTTCCGTGAATCCGAACGATGCTAATACCTAGCCTACCTGCAGTCGCAAATGTTGGCACGAAGCGAAGGCACCAGCAGCAGCAGGCAGGAACCCACCAAGGGTGCGCAACGTGGACCAAAGGTGGAGTTGCGCCACATCGAGACGATCCTGGCCATTGAGCAGCGAGGCACGTCATGGCAGCAGGAAGGGTGATTGGGCACCAAGGGTTGAACGAGGTGCTACCTCTAGACAGGCACTCGTTGCCTTTGCATGGGCCCGAGTGAGGACTTGTGGAGGCGACGGTACCAAGTCATGGTGTGTGGAAGAAAATCCTGGCAAGTGTGTGGTAAGGCGACCGGGATAAGGGACAGAATTAAGCGAAAGGATTCAAGGTGTCTACTGGATACGAGCCGTACTTGACATGATGGAGTTTTGGGAGGGGAAACTTTAGTAGTACTAGCAGTGAGCAATGCAAACAATGACTAGGTACTACGAGAAGGTAACTGGACCAAGGTCGAGCGGATGCAATGCTTTGTGTCTACTACCACCACTACCCATGCACACACGTGTAAGCACCGAGTAGAGCAGGTACTCAGATGTAGGTACCCACAGTGCCACGGCACCCAGCGTACTGTAGCTAGGTGGGCACTGGATCGATGTACTGGAGGTCAGTTTAGTGGCATACGAGCTTGACAACTTGACAAACCTGACGAGAGGCAGGCACGAAGCGAGAGAGAGGCAGGCATCCACACTCCATCCTCCGAACTCGCATGCTGCATGCTGCATGCTACGGTGCGCCCTGCACCGCACCCTGGAACTGAGACATTGCTAGGAAAGTGGCGAAGATGCATGCATGCAATGCATGCAAAGAGGCAAAGGAAGAGCCTCCAGCCTCTAACCTCTAGGATATTCCCCAACCTCTAACCTCAGAAACAAGGAAAGACATTTATTATTTTTTTCATGTCAAGGCCTGCTGGCCTGGAGGGGATGACGATCCATGTCTTACATAAAACTATGAACATGGAGATGAGTACAGTCACGAGTAGAGTGGCAGGGTGTCTCTCTGTACACCTGGGAACTGGGAAATCCAAATTATCGAGGACCTGGAGAAATGTGGAATGGAAGGGTGTGGTGTGACTACAAATTGTTTCTTTTGTTTTGTTTTTTTTGAAAAAGATAAAAAATAAAAAAAATAAACAAAATTCTGGAAATGTCACCGGGCTGACCTACAAAGTATGAGAACACAAGTACAAGTAAAATGTACAAGTATATTTGCGTAAAGAGTTCCGTGGGAATTAAACAAACGTATGGAG